GGGTTTCATCTAAAAAAAATATTCTGTTTTCTTATTAATCATGGTTTGATATTGTCAATAAAATGCTATCAGTTCTTTTTCATTTAATATTCAATGTAAACAAATATAGGGTTTAGCATCGGGTGTAAGTTAGTTATACACTTCGGGATACGGTGTGTCTGGATAAGAAACCCCTCCGGCCTCCGGCCGTCGGGGTTTCTTACCCATACACACCTATCCCTCAGTGTATAACTATTACGTATGGGTTTGTCCATTGTTGACGGTCGTACGGTGACCCGAAGTTGTGTTCACATCCCCATTCTTTGATCTCTAGTGGATAGTTGTCTTATTGGAAATTATAACACGTCTCCTTGTTTTTATAACTAATTCAGTTTAAAACGGTTTTTTTCTTCCGATGATCTGACGATTTTAAACGCTACATGGACATTCACAAATACTGCCGATATATTCAATTGATTTGTTACATTAAATGTGTGTTCATTGGAATATAATTGCACATAGTTCTTCATAATGTACTTTGTGAGTGAAAAAATGAAAAGAAAAAGAGTAAAATAGTTGAACTTTCCACTGAAACATGACCGTGACAGGTGTCAAGCATTTTTATCCAATACCTGATATAACACTTTATACACGAGATAATGCAACGAGAAACAAAGCCTGCACAGATCTCACTAATCACTAGTTTGTATCACTTCAATCCCCCATCTCGTGTTATTAAACCGTATCATAGTATTTCGTTAGAAGTTTATGGATATTCAAACTTTACAATTTAGAGTTCTTTCCAGATTTCTACAATGACAGATGCTTTAAAAAGATATATGGTATAGGGAGTTAAGATCTGAAGATTATGCTTTTTCATCGTATAAAACTTAAAACTGCCATTCTTTTAACAAGAGTGTACACCATGGAATATCTCACTTGCTTTACAGATCATGATTGGGGTTTTGTTGAAAGTCAAGATCAATGTCTTACTACAGGTATCAAACAGCTTATCATTAATCCATTACACTGAAGTAAATATCTGAGAAGCAGATCGTATAATGAAAACTTAACGTTGATCTATCAACCAGAAAAAAATGATGTCAAGGTCAAATGACCCCTTCCAGACGGACATGTACACCTTACAATCATTCTATGCATCAAATATAGTTGTCCTATTGCTTATTTTATCTGAGAAACGGACATTATCACTAAACTAAACAAATGAACCTTGCCAGGTGGATATGTATAAATGCAATGAATCAATACTGAATAAAGTTGTCTTATTGCTTATAACAGAAAATATGATAACAATTATATTTTCAAGTCATCACTGAACCATGTTAATGAGGTCAAGGACTACAAACATATACCAGACGAAAGCTTTAGACCAAAATGCATCTGTATTATGCTGGTCTGCCTTCTGATGCACACAGCTTTATATAAACAGTTTATTTCATTGCTGGATAAGCCTTCCTATCTCGCATTCTGTGACATTCGTCGAGACAAATGTTCCGGTTATCTTTTGTTATATCCTAATGATTTGATTTTGCCATTTTAAGAAACGGAAATTTGAAGACAGATCTATGATGGGTTTTATTAAACTTCTTCACTACTATTTCAGGCCTGGGAAAATTTAGAGCTTGATATTTGTCTAGGCACCAGTCTATTGTTGAAGACAGTATGTTGACCTCTAGATATCATTTGGTTTGTGTTGTGAGGCTGCTGTCTCATTGACAACTGTCTCATATGTTCTATTTTGTTAATGTGAGTTAAAATATAATAGTCCCAGTATAAACAAATAAACAAGGTACTGAAACAGCTGGAATTGCATGACCTAATAAACATGGCGCGACAATATGGATTGACAGGGCAAAACTCTCCTCCTTTGCATGCATTATTTGTCATATAACACAAGCTGATATACAATATTAAGTGTCTAGGCCAGGAACATGACAAAATTGTAAATAAACAAATTTTTCAATAGAAAAACTTAAATCAAAATATTTCCTATATATCCCATTTTTTTGTCCACCAGCTCAGCATCAATTTAAAAAAAAATGCTCAGCAGACCATCTTTCCTCTATTGTATCCTTTATTTTCATGTTCAAGGGTATATATTGTATGTCAGTACTCAAGGTTCATGTTCAAGGGTATATATAATTATTGTATGTCAGTACTCAATGTTCAAGTTCAAGGGTATATACTGTATGTCAGTACTCAATGAAAAGAAGCTTTATTAATGCAAACACCAATATATTTAAGAGTAATATTTAAGTTTTTTAAACTTTATTTCTTCTGGTCTTTTAAGAGGTTTGTGTACAAGTTCTGCTTCATCAAAATGATTGAGATACAGATCCGAGTCCACACTTTGCTTACAAAGGATCTGACAACGCTCCGTTCTACTTTCTGTTCTTGTAATTATTACATCAGTCAATGAAATTCCTGCATATAATTTTTGGAAGCGTGTATCATTATGACACAACCAGAAGATCCTGAAAGGTCTACAAAACAGAAAGTAGAACGAAGCTCTGTAAGATCTTTTTAAGTGAAGAGTGGACACATGATCTGCTTTTTAATGATATTGCTGCTTCATACAAGTACAAGACCAAATCAGCTGACAAGGGCACTCAATCAATACCAAATGATTATTAGAATATCAAGCTATCAAACTCAGAGATTTGGTATGATTACCAATAGATGACTTTCAGATTCATGCATTTTTACATACATTTACAATGTCACAATACTAATGTTATTACGTCACAGTTAGAGTCGATTGCTAAATGATGTTATTTACTACTGGGGTCTACCAGCATAACTCATTCATTAAAAAGAACTTGAAATTTATCTATGAAACAACTATACACCAAAGACCAAAGAACAAAGATGTAATCAACTACAGGTTACCATGTACAAAGTAGATAAAGTGTCCTGATGGGATTGCAAGTTTAATAGTTTTATTCATGATCATTCAACCTATTCTTAATTATATGTATGTTCCTAGGCACCAGGCTATTGATGAAGCCAGTAAGTTGACCTCTATATGTCATTTGGTTTTTTGTTTTGTTTAGTTGCTGTCTCATTGACTTATATTTCACATCTCATTTTATTTAATTAAATATCATAGTCCCAGTATAACATGTATAAACAGATATACATGAAGGAAACAGCACGAATAGACTATTTTCATATTACCGACTTTTGACTCCGGATTATATAATTTGTCGACTGGTTACCTTGGACATCATGGTACTCGGTCAAGTAAGAGCAACCAAAATAAGTAAAATCAAACATGTAATCGGTGTTTTTTGAGGGGAAAGTTTACTGTTTTCCGATGATTTTGTAGAGTAAAAAAAATATTAACCAGGTAATTTTCCCCCCAAAATTGTACCGATTGAAAGCTTGGTTTTACTTCTTTAGCTTGCTCTTACCTGACTTGGTACCATGATGTCCAAGGTAACCAGTCGAAAAATTATATAATCCAGAGTCAAAAGTCGGTAATATGAAAATAGTCTATTGCATAAAATAAAAAACATGGGGAGACAATATGCGTTAGCTTATTCTTAATTATATGTATGTTTTACACACAAGCAACACATAATTTCATGTAAATTTTATCAATGAAAAGTCAACTTTCTAGATGATATCTGCTTTGTTTATGTGTTCAAAGAATCAGTGTGGTTCTAAACAAAATATAATTTCCTGGACAAGGACAAGAAATTGGTATCTACATTACAATTCATAATAAACTGCTTCGTTGAGCGCAGCTGGATACGCCCGCAGAGGTCCAACCCTGAACAGTTGGGGCAAAAATGGACACAATATTCAAGCTTGATACAGGTCTGAATTTGGATTGTAATTAAATATTTGACATATTATAGGTTTCTGAATAAATGTAGTCAAAGAAATTGAAATTGGTTATATGAATTGAATTTATTTAATGAATGGCTATTATTTATTTTGCGAATTATTCAATGTGAAGAGTCAAAAATTAATTTTATGGTTCAATAAATTCAAAATAAATAATAGCCATTCATTATAAATAAATTTCTATCAAAAATAAGACTCAAAGAGCTTTTTATATTATTTATATTAACAATAGCAACGTACACACATGGATGCGTATGAATACACAACGTCAGAGTGGGTGTGTCGCCATAAAAATTAACAACATTGAAAATAAAGGTAATACTTTTAACTAATCAGAAGACAGTAAATACACCAAATTTATTTATATTCAATTAAAGATTTCTTTCTGTTGTGCAATACACTGTGCTATTGCGCAATACTAGTAAATCTGTTGTCAGACTATAAACAAATAAAGTTCAATAACTTCTCAATGTTATATTAGAAATTTATAAAAAAAAAACTAAAGGGAGGTTATCTTAATAGATATAAATCAGTCATCAAAGTTTAATGAAAACTGCTCTAAGCACTTTAAGGATATTGTCCAAAAACTTAAAAATCACCCCCTTTTTATGAATAAAATCTTGTAACTCGGAAACATAAAATCTAAAATTTATAAAAATCAAAAGGGAGCTTACAACAATAGATATAAACAATTTACCAAAGTTTCATAAAAAATGCTGAAAGCATTTTTGAGTTATTGTCCGAAAACTGGAAAATCCCCCTTTTTGTAACGAATAAAACCCCATAAATCAGAAACATATAGTCTAAAATTTATAAAAATCAAAAGGGAGCTCATGTCGATAGCATTAAACAATTCACCAAAGTTTCTTGCAAATTGGTGAAATTGTTTTTGAGTTATTGTCTGAAAAATGGAAAATCCCCCCTTTTTAATGAATAAAACTCCAAAATTCGGAAACGGTAAATCCGAAATTTATAAAAAACTAAAGGTAGCTCACGTCAATAGATATAAACAATTCACCAAAGTTTCATGCATATTGGTAAAAGCCTTTTTGAGTTAATGTCCGACATGTTGATGACGGACGGACGGACAGACGGACGGTCAACGGTATACCATAATACGTCCCTATAACGGGCGTATAAAAATATAATTTCAAAAACAAAAACACAATTTATTAATATTAAACTTGGTAAACATAGTACACTGGAAATAATAGGTATATCATCTCTTATCAATAACATGATTATTACAAACGTTAAATTATGACATAACTGTACTGTAATAAAATAAATGTGTGTATATGGCATTGGTATGCTGACTGCTAACATAAAATAACAGATTGATGCTGTTAAATGACAAAAGACTTTTTTTTTTGTCCTGTAAAAATAACTGAAGTAACATACATTCTGCCCCAACCAGTCTTTTTAATATCTATATTTCTAAAAGAATAAAGATGTCTAGAAATAAGATATATACCACAAGGTTTATAAGCTTTCAAAAACATAAAAATATTTAAAATATGCTTGCCAATATAATCCAGGACTATCATAAATTGTTTGAATTTCATTGATTCTGTATATCTCAAGACCTTTTATAGTCATGTCATAAACATTCCAACTTTGTACAATGTAGGAAAGATGTAAAAAAAAACCTGTTGATTATTAGAAATGACCTTAAAACATTGACATTAATGGACTGATAAACCATATGTCAGGTGACATAAAGGTAATTCTAATATACAATCTATATATCGTCAACCAGTAGAATCATTGTATATCTACTTTTAGAGCAAACGCATTAATACACAAAATTGGCTGTTTAGCATTAAGCCCACCTTATTTATACGATCAGGTAAACTCAATTTCAGACAGTAAAACTCACATTTTGTGTAGGCCAAGCATCAAATACAGTACGGTTATTTCTATTCTAAAGCAAAATAAACAAATCAGTCCATTTCAGTTATAATTTCAGTGTAACATTTAATAAAACGAAAATTCGGCGAAATGATGTTATCGTATTTGGCAACTAAACAAGATGACATCATATGTTTGCTTCCAACTTTAAATGTAAACACTGGTTGTTATCAGGCTTCTTGTTATAAAACGCCTCAGAATGTTATAAAATTAGATTTTTCAGAAAAGAACATTTTTAGGTGAAAAATGTGAAATTTTTATTTATTATTGAATAATATAATATTATTAATATTATTATATGGGGGTAAAACTAAACAGCCAAAACAGTACAGTAGACTCCACCTAATCGGATATCGGCTAAACGAATATATCAGCTATTGTAATATTATTTCAAAACACCAAACCCTTTCCTATATGTTTGATGTTAATTTTATCAAGATGAATATCGGATATAAGAATATATCGGCAAATCGGATAGGAATATTCATAAAAATTCTGTCAAAACCATGCACAATCGGATATTTTTAATGTTTTTCTGACAGGAAATGAGGCCTGAAGTTGCGCAATTACAATCTTGCAGACAAGAAAATTTTGTTTCTGCTTAGTAAAAGGGACTATTTCCCAATAAATTATTGTCTTCCTTTGTAATGTGAATAAGATGCCCTTACAGTTCAAATGGATGAATTTTATTTATAAATACCAGTGCAGTATGTTGGGAGAAATTTTGATAAAACTCAGGTGTTCACAGAATCAGAAATATAATTTTAAACTGAATGTACCTCCTTCTGAATAATTTATTGCAATATACAAATAAATCCCTTCTGAACAGAGAAATCTGGCTTTTGTCAGATATAATTATGTAACATGTGCATGACCACATGTCATGGACGCCATTTTCCCTTGTTTACATTTTAACTTCAGACATGTAATCATTTTAAATCTAAATTTAAGCCTCTTCCCATGTAATTTCTGTTGAATGATAGAAACAAATTAATTTTTAATTAAATATCACTGAAGAAATAGTTGATTTAGTCATCATGTTTATAAGACAAGCTGATAAAATTTCACAGAGTGTGAGCAAGGTTTTACTGTACTTCTGAGAAATTGTTGTAGCTATTTATAGCAAATTACCTGTGTTGTCACTACATAAATAGACATGCATAAATATGGATATTACTTCGTTTATGAAACAAATAAAGACACAAACTATGGATGGTAGATATTTATTCACATAAATAATTAGTGAATTTGATTTATTTTAATAAACAAAGGATTCAAAGGCAGAAAACAAATAGTATTAAATAACCAGCTGATATTTTTTTACTCAAACATCGTGGTGTTGTACCAGAAAAAAATCAAGAAAAAAACACCCTAACCCTTTTCTTAGGCAGTGGTCAGGGTTAGTAACATCTCCGAATTAGGTGAACTCTTTTTCTATTGCAGAATATTCAATGAATATACATTTATCGTCTAACTGAATATATCAGGTATTGGGATATTTTTGTGTATCCGATTTGCCAGAGTCTACTGTATCGTGTGAATAGGGCTTTTAAGGTTGACATAATTACCTTATTTGTCCTATTAGAATAGAAATAATTCAGGGCAGCCGTAGATTTGTTTTCATTTAACAATGGGTTGGGCATTTATATTCGTATTTTACCCATCGCTATTGCTCTGGATAAAATAATCAAATTTAAATGCCCAATCCATGGTTAAATGAAAACAAATCTAGGGATGCATGAATTATTTCTTAATTAATGCATGTCTGACTCTTGTAAAGTGTGTATTTAGTTTTTCCTAAAATGTTACCAATAACAAAATCATAAGATTTTTAAGTGTTATACATAAAACATTCTCTTAAAAGGGCAAACTATTTGCCTAATATTCAAATCTTTTGACAATATTAATTATATCTAATAATAATAATAATGCGCAATATATTATTTTACCTCAGCAAACAAATTAAAAACAAATTTTTCCACTTCCCCTGATGACAATAAGTCAATACCTTTTTCCCTATCTATCAATGTCAATAAAATTATTGATTTTTACAGCTATCTTTTTTGTCAAAATATCAACAAGTTTGTTGGTTCCTATGGTAACTTATTACCAGGACATTTCAATACCACTGAATGTGGACACTAGTTGATCCATCCTTCCACTGTGGATTCTCCGCATGGATCTGAGTCCTACACATCGGGCATGTCTTTTCTCGATCAAACCACACTGAAACGCAACTCTCACAAAAGATATGCTGCAAAATAAAAATAAGAAAATATGTTAACCAAACAATAACTTATATGTGTGAATACCTATTTTTATGGTTTAAGTGAAAGCCACTGGTTTCTAAATTCCTGTATTTGTGATTTCACTGTCACTATGTACATAATTTACCCCCAAAAAATGGGTATTTAAATTCGTAGTTTTAATAAACAATAATTACATCAAAATTTATATCAAAGAATGATATTTTAAAATTAAACATTTGTATTAATTTCAAAAATCTAGATACAGAAAACAAGTTCATTTGGCTTCCTACATGTGCACATGAAGAATATGCAACACTAGGCTTTGATTAACTATAGTTAATTTAATTTCATCATTATCATTATTGCTTCTTTACTAATGTCTATTTATAATCATTATATATAAGATGCCCTTTATGGGCCAATGATTAGTTTAATAAAGTAACCTATTCATATTCACAGTATAATTCTAAAATTTTATTTTTTATTTTAATCAGCACATAAAATTCCAGGCCTATGACCTCCAGAGATGGTATGGATTTTTACTCAACTCAGATTGAAAGCACAGTCAAAGTATAGTTCTAAATTCAATTTTTATAAAAGTTATGAATACATAAAATCCAAGGTCTAAATACAACCTTTGAATTTCAGAGATTATATTGATTTTCATTGAACTAGGCAAACTTAATAAATGTAGATATACCGATTATTTAAATGAGTTTCTTTTAATGCAAAAACCTTTGATTTCACATTGTGCTTGTTATGGTTATAACTTTCTTACAAATTTAACGAATTATTAGAAAATATAATGTATAAAGGGAAACTACTCAGTATTATTCTATAATAGATTAGGCTTTCTCTTATTCTGAGCCAATTTATCCTTTCCCTGACTGGTTGATTATATTTTTATAAATCAACGTGCGGTTTGTTTGATCTCAGATATTAATTGGTTAAAATTCAATTATGATGTCAAATATTCTTGCTTTCTTCTGAATATTGTGGCTCCATAAAAAATAGCCACCATGCCTGATGACATCACCGAGAAAGAACACATCTTTTTGCAGATCATTGAAAATGAAAGATAAAATTTGCCAACAAAACATTTAAAAGTCATTACAGAAAAGGATTCCACCACCAAATCTCTTTCAATACAATATTTCTCCACTCTTGACAGTTAAACTTTACTTATTTAAATCGCTCAGAAAGCCTCGCGTTTCAAATTTAAAAATTTAACTGTCTCAAGTGGAAAATATTTGTATCACATTTGAAGCAGTGATTTCTGCTCTTTGGTCAGGTTGTTGTCTCTTTGACACATTCCCTGCTTCCATTCTCAATTCTATAGAATCTATATGTTACTCAAAACAATTTAAAGAGTATTTTTGTTTTCAAATTAAAAGCAATACATGTTTCCCAATACAGGCAAATGCTGATTAGCTACCTATACCACTATGCCAGCAATACAGGTAAATTCTGATCAACTACCTGCACCACTCTGCAAGCAATACAAGTAAATGGTGATTTACTATCTATACCACTCTGGCAGTCAAGCCATTCATTTAAATGACAATTAAAGGTGAAACACCTACTTTACATGCTAACATCACTGGATCTTTATAATCATCTTGGCAAATAGGACAACTTTCTTCTCTGGATGTTATATCACTCTGGCTAGGTCGTGTTCCATAGGACTACAATACAAACATTTTTGTCCAATTCATGTTTCATAAAAATTACAAGAATATAATCAAAGCACTAACAAGCATTGTCAGCCAAAATATTTTTTATAAAGAAATACTAACTATATTATTACATTTTAAATTTCACATCTATGATGGTGAATTTTTAACTAGTCACAGCACATGTAGTAAGAGTTAATAAACTTGGTTCCTCTACATGTTGCATTAGAATATTATTAACAAATATTACAAATTGTGACATTCATCCTATCCCATTTTTCACATTAATTAAATCATTACTTATATATCGTAACAGAGCTACTTACAACATCTGTTCTAAGTCTACCAACAGCATTGTATACGTCTTGGATTTTTACCATAGTATTATTCAGCTGAAAGGAAATAAAACTTGATCAGTATTTAATTTTCTCATATGCTATTTTATTTCCCAAGGAATTCTTTTAATAATTCATTAACATTTGATGGCCATGTGTGTTGTGTATTTTCAACAACATACGAGCTGTGTCCGATAGTAATCGACCTTATGCAAGTGCCCATATACATGTACATGTATAAGACTTTGAGTGATTTTAGAACATTCAAATTCGAAATAAAAGATCAATTTTGGTCTGTTTTGTAGGGTTCTTATATCAACTCAATTTTCAAACAGTTACAGACTTGGCATAGAGATTTTTTCAACCCAAAATAAGTCAACAGATGTACTGATATTCCTTTGCATAAGGTCGATTTCTATCCTACACAGCTCATATGTATGTATACAATTATTCTTTTGAAAGAAGATAATTTATCATTTAAATGCACAAAGATTAAACTCCTTTTAATAACAAACATAGGATTGCAGTGACTGCAAATTATCATTAACTTCTAAAGATTTAAAGTACTAAAAAACTTGTTTTCTTTGAACGGTTTCATTTTAGAATTTTTGAAACTGTGTCTTCTCCTACCTTACAGGTGTGTACTTTGACTCTAAAACCGAATGATAAGCTTTGATAATTTACTGCAATTGCATGGAATATTTTCCAGACCAATGGTTATGCCATATATACAGTTTCAGTTGTAAAGTCAAAAACAGTATAAATGGAATTAATATCATTCATACATGTATGTATGCTAATTCTTACCTTAAATATGAAATAAACTAATAATAAAACAGCAGCAAATATGAAAGACACATCATCTGACAGGAAGTGAAACCATGGTAACACTGTAACAACTAATCTGTATAACTGCATAACATGTTCTATGAACATATAATACTTTCCCTGGAAATTAAAAAAAAACACAGAATTAAATTTGCAATAAATTCATGGAAGGATAGTAATATAAAATAAATTTTATCAATTCAATTCGTCTGTTTCACAAATATAGTATTGACAAAAATGTAGATGAACTGTGGTTAAGAATCTATGAATCGCTACTGAGTAGTTGGGCTATGGTAAAGGGTACTGTTTTACAGTATAAGATAGTGAAATGCATACCCTTTTTTTACTACTGAATGGAACAACAGATATCAGACATTTTAATATGATGGTGGCATATTTCAAAATGTAATCTGTGACTACCATCATCCACAAAAATAACCAGAAATCAGCTGTCCAACCATTGGGCATCTGGAACAACAATCTGAAAATCAAATTTAGTTATATCATTTTTTTCTTTATTTTAAGAATATGTTTTATAATAAAAGGCAAATTATCAAATGTATGTCACAATTTTCCCCAAATACTAAGATGCAATTTTGTTTTATATTCAATTACTGTACACAGATAATACTACCTTATATTTAAATAAACGAAGAATGTGTTCATGGGACACAGATACCCCCCACTTGTAAATATACGGCAAATTCTGCAATTTTTCAATTTACAAAGGGACATAACTCAAGAACTGTGAAAGTGACGCCACCCAAATTCAAACTTGATCAGAGTTTGGTAGTAATAAGCATTGTGTATAAGTTTCATAATATTTGGTTGAGGCAAAATAAAATTAGATTGCAGACACTACAAATTTGCCAATTTTTCCATTAATAAAGGGACATAACTCAAGAACAGTGAAAGTGACGCCACCCAAATTCAAACTTGATCTGTGTTTGGTGGTAATAAGCATTGTGTATAAGATTCATAACAGTTGGTTGAGGCAAACTTAAGTTAGAGAACAGAAACTAAGTTTGGGACATTCGAATGTATAGACATACAGATGGAAGGAAGTACAGACAGACAAGGGTAAAACTTAATGCCCCCTCCTCCACAGTGGGGGCATAAAAAAAATAATCACAAAACACATTATATTATATTTCTACATAATATAATTATAACATAATATTCATGATAATCGGCTACTTGTTGTTGGCAGTTTAATACCCAGCAGCAAATCAAATGCATATTCAGGATGAGAACATATTAATATAATATGAATATGAACTTTGCTTTGTACTAGACCAACATGCTGAGTCTAATTTTTAAGGTGCTAGTTTGTAGGAAGAAATATCACCCTATTCTGACCCCCATGCAGACAAGTCTTTGCTCTGACCCCTAACTGCTCCATACTTAGCAGACATGGCAGAGAAGCAGCAAATCAACCCATGACTTCCTGTACTTGAGGCAAGCTCACTACCACAAGACCATCAAGGAGGTTAAGAATTGGGACGATTCAAAACAAGCATTTGACATTTTGTACAGATGTTTGTTTATTGTTGAAGACAATATGCTGACTAGATGTTTTTTTTAATTTTTTTGTTAATGGGTTGCTGTATCATCAAAGTTTACCCCACATCTCCTTTTATTTATTCATATAGCTTATCATATATTAAATATTCAAATTATATGGAGAGGAAGAAGATCCTACATATTATAACAAGGGTGCACACGCTGAAATGTCTCGCCTTCTTTACTAACCATTGATTTTATGTTGATAGTCCTAAATACAAAGCTTTACTACAAGTAACACATAAACTTAACATGATCCAAGAAAATGAGGTCAAGGTCAGATAAACCAAACGAGAAATACATGTACACCTTACAATCATTCAATAAACCAAGCATAGTTGACCTATTGCTTATTGTTTCTAAGAAACAGTCTTCAACAAGAAAACTTAACATTGACCAATGAACCATGAAAATGAGGTCAAGGTCAGATGAACCATGCCAGACAGACATGTACACCTTACAATCAATTTAGGCATTAAATATAGTTGACCTATTGCTTATAGTATCTAAGAAACAAACTTAACCATGAAAACTTAACATTGACCAATGAACCATGAAAATGAGGTCAAGGTCAGATGATACCTGCCAGACAGACATATACACCTTACAATCCTTCCACACATCAAATATAGTTGATCTATTGCTTATAGTTGAAGAAAAACATACCAAAACACAAAAACTTAACACTGAGAAATGAACCGTGAAAATGAGGTCAAGGTCAAATAAAACCTGTGAGACTGACATGTACATCATAAAATATTTCCATACACCATTTATAGTTGACCTATTGCATATAGTATTAGAAAAAAAGACCAAAACTCAAAAACTTAACTTTGACCACTGAACCATGAAAATGAGGTCAAGGTCAGATTACACCTACCAGTTGGACATGTACACCTTACAATCATTCCATATACCAAATATAGTAGACCTACTGCTTATAGTATCTGATATATGGACTTGACCACGAAAACTTAACCTTGTTCACTTATCCATGAAATGAGATCGAGGTCAAATGAAAATTGTCTGACGGGCATGAGGACCTTGCAAGGTACGCACATACTAAATATAGTTATCCTATTACACATAATAAGAAAGAAATTAACATTACAAAAAATGTTGACTTTTTTTTCAAGTAGTCACATGCACTGAACCATGAAAATGAGGTCAAGGACAATGGACATATGACAGACGGAAACTTCATAACATAAGGCATCTATATACAAAGTATGAAGCATCCAGGTCTTCTAGCTTCTAAAATATAAAGATTTTAAGAAGTTAGCTAACGCCTCAGCCGCCGCCGGATCACTATCCCTATGTCGAGCTTTCTGCGACAAAAGTCGCAGGCTCGACAAAAACACATGCAACCTCTTTTTCTAACATATAAAGTATGTTGTATATTCTATGCTTACAATTTCCATAACTCTTGGTCTCTGAAGACATAATACACAGTAGCCATGTTGGCTGCCATCAATACGGCTAATTGTAGGAATGAGAAAATATATCGAAAGTGATTTACATCCTGAAAGAGAAATTCATCAATAAATGTGAATGTTTCATTAAAAAATATCATCGAATATAAAAACAGAAATGGCTATATCTGAACACAATTTCTATGTATAAGAAAGAATTTATAATGTATTTTGTAATAGAATAATAACCGAAATATAAAATTTCATTATATTGGTTGCAATGAAATACCATGATTTCCCAGTTAAATAAAAACCGATAATCATAATTTAGCATGTGAAATAAATCCTATAAATTCACTCCTCTGACGTCATACAACAATGAGTGTTGTCAAGACATTGTTGATGACATTGCATGAAAGCAATTGGAAATGTGTAGAAAAAAATTTAGTTCCTAATATTTTCTACTTAAATTTCATTAAAAATTCATCGTCAATGTAATAAAAAGAATAACTTATCGAAGAATTCAAATATCTAAATATATTAAACTTGTGACTGACAAATAACTCATGCGCCACATGCATTTGTGATTTAATGTGTTGTTCGGTCACCTGTTACAATTTTTCAACATTTGAATTCTTCGATTACAATGTAGTTATTCTATAAACAAATTTAACCCTGATACTGTATAACCCAGATTCAGATGTTTCTAACATTCAGGTCATTTTAAGTTCTGTCACAATTAAAAATTACCAGTGCTATGTCTTAACTTCAAACACTTTTCTTTGAATTTCATACATTATTTGCCATGTTTGTACTGGAATCCCATAGAACTATTTATCTATAATGAAATTTTTTACTTACCCTAAGTGAAGTTTGATGAACTAAGCCTTGAAGTTTGTTATTTGCATAAATAAATGTTACACCCATACATAGAAATACAACCACACCTGTAAAATATTCAGAAGAGTAATTATATACCTCAACCTTATTATTCTAAATTGAGTTGAAAAAAAAACAAAGTATCTTTCATCACAAAACTGAAACCAATGCTGTAAATTCAATTTAAGTTTTTGGATCTACTAAAATCTTCGATAACTGACAATGATGCAACATTAATCATAATTATAAATGCCATTTCTGTACTTGTTGCAATGAAATATTACTTAAGCAAAAGAGTAACATTTGAGTTCTTCAATTATTTTTGTATAAACCTGTTTGATTTTTGTTTAATTAACAAAAGCGTCCTCTTATTTTTCAATTCATAGCAAATGAAATTATTTATAAAAAGTTAAAAATACTTAAATTTTGCATGGACACTCATTCATTTGATCCCTAATATTAAATTTTGTATGTCGACTTTCAAAATTTTATCCCTCATTGACTTGCATGACTTGTTATTGCTGATATCTTATCCTAAAAACAAAACTTAATAAAAAAGAGCCATTCATTATGATGCATAAAATAAAGGTCAAGGTGACTTTAGTTTGAATATCTATCTTCCTTTCTCATGTTTCTATCCAAAATTGTCCTACTGACCAAATATGTGAACACTCTGACTTGTAGTTGGTAAGATCTGGGCCTTAAGGCAAAACTTGGCTTACTGTTTTATGATAGTGCCACTCCTATCTGATCAAAATACATATCCTGTGTCCATGCTTCCCTAAGGGAAAAAAAAAAGTGAGTTTCCGGTACCTGACCAACCCTAATTTATAGGCTCCGACCCTAACTTATTTTACAAAGAACTTTCCGGATGGTCTGAAAAAACTCTTCCTTTAGTATATCCCAAAACACACCTACTTTTGGTGTGTGTCTTAAATGAATCTGACAACCCTCCATTTTACTATCTGTTTAAAAGACCTGTCAGGATCCTTTGTTTTGTCATGATGCACACCTTCAAATATTTTGAGGCAGAAATTTCATTTGCTAATGTGATGATCACCTGAACAAAATTTACAACAGAAAGTTGTCGGATCCTTAGTTCATGAAAGCAAAGCTTGAACACACTGTATTTAAACCAGATTTGTGCCATTCCCGATAATGTGAAGATAATACAAGATATATTTTCCTGTTCCTGTATGTTTATAGCATAACCCTTTTTATTCTTTATTAAGAATAATTGAATGCTTACCCAAAATGTGATCAGAAAGTAGTTTAAACAATACTATAACAATAAAGATTATAGAGTTAGACAACAGATGAGTCAGAGGAGGAGTCTGTCTCTCATGGGAATGTTCATGATTCTCATTCATATTTTCATCCGATCCAAAATCCTGAAGGCTCTCTGGATCAATCTGTAGCCCTTGGTGTAAAAAATCGTGTGAATGTGCATGGTCAGGATTATGCTGAAGTCTGTTTAAATCAAGCACAAAGTCATTTACATTGTCAGTAGTCTGTGTAGCAGGTGTCGGTTGTGACTGATTGGCATCTACCGATGATGATCTAGATACAACTATTCTATGTGGATTATGTCCCATTATTGTTGGCATTATGCCGGAAACAGCATTTCCGACCTGATTTGAGATTGCTCCAGTGTTATTTATAGGCAGATTTAACCTCATCCAGTTCTGATTATTATTGGAGCCCATTGTAGCCTGATTGGAATTATTTTCTGTCATATTCCTTCTGTGAGACATGAAGTTACATATTAATTTTCATTGTAACCTGAAACAGAAAAACAGAAATTTTTAACTGATTGGAAAATTTTCAAAAACTGTATATAATCAACTTACAATCATAATCACATACTTGTAATATGCCAGGTAAACAATAAATATCATTCCCTGGACTCTTCTGACGAAATCCTTTGTGAGGACCCTGTAGTTTTTTCTGTTTTTGGTTTGCTGCCTCATACAAATATACCCAATATCTCCTTTTAATATATATTATAAACTTCAGAATTAGTAGTACATGTATCATGATAATTGTCTTATTTTACATGATTCACATGTTTTTCTAGGACAGAGAATATAAAGAAACATTTCATTTAGTCATGTCAGCTCTACATTGTATTTGAAATAAAAGTTTCACATTAATACATGTATCTAGTACATGTAGCAAGAAAGGCTTATGAATAAAAAAAAGTTGTAATGATATAAAACTTTAAAAACATAGTTTACACCCCAATCAGGTTCCATTCACCAACAATCCTGTTCACCCACATATTTGTTCCCCTACTTAAAAATGTACCCGTCTGTCCCAGGTCCATTCACCCATATTATTTTGTTTCATTTGTCTTGTATTATCATGATGTATATTACATATATTATGGATAGTAACTGTTGAAATTAAAATAAAATGCTCCGCTGGGGCGCAGCTTGATACGACCGCAGAGGTCGAACCCTGAACAGTTGGGGCAAGTATGGACACAACATTCAAGCTTGATACAGCACTGAATTTGGATTGTAATTAAATATTTGACACAGCATAGGTTTCTGACACAGAATGAAAGTGGTCTAAGAACTTAAAAATTTTCAATTTACCTATTCATACATGTGATGGACTGTGAAACTCAGATCAGGAGATTGGGAAATTTTGGTCAGGAGATTAGGACTCAGATCAGGAGGTTTTTAATCGACATTAATTTTGTTGTAAATGTAACCGTGTGCTGTAAAAATGGTCTTTTAAAGTGTGTTTTCTTCAACTTTCCAACCAATTTATTATGTTTATAGTACCCTTGTACTTATAAAGTTTCTCCATCTTTATATTCTACATGTTCAATCTAACATTGTTTTTTTCCAGTATGTTCTTTAAATTTTTTACTTCATATTCTATAAAACAATCATTGCAACCAGAACATTTGTTTAGCTGTCTGCAAATAGTTTTTATTTTTTTTTTTTTTCTCTTGCAAATAGTTTTTATTTGCAAACTCAGAAATTCATTCTATCTGTAAAGTTAGGGTCATAGTTATTATATAAATTTCAATTTAAGCCTTAAAAGGAAGTATAGAATCCTCAAATAATTTTCAAATTATTATTTTTTTATTTGTCCTAAGACATTTAAAATCATTTAATAACCATCCTTTTATGATTATTTGTTCAATTTATATTTTATTTATATTCTTTTAAAAATTTTCATTATTAAAAGGAACGTAACTTAAAACAGGATAAATCAAGGGAAGTAACCCAATAAATACACAGTTTTTGTTACACAACGGTAGTTAGCCTGAGGTAAAAATCGTTGCTTACCAGTATGTTTGACACCCAAGCTGACAAGTGAAGCCATATAATTATGCATGTTAATTGATTTACAGGTAAAATATAACTTCAGGTAATGTCAGTTACACCAGATGCCTGAGATGTTATGTTGGGCAGAAATTTTTCATTCATGAAAAATTTCATTCACGGGATTTTTTCAACGGGAGGGGGGGAGGAGACCCCTGAAAACGGGATTATTGTACTCCCGTCGGGAGGTTCACATGTATGCCTATTCAAACCATATCATTATTATTTGCTTTTATATATAAATCAGAAATAACCAATTTAAAATGGAAAATGTTAAAGAAAAAAAAGGAAAAAAAAATCCCCCCCCCCAATTTTTTGAACCCCCTTATGATTCATCGCCCCCAAACTCAATCCCAGCTTTCCCTTTGTGGTATGGTACCTTGCAGTACAATTTCAGAGAGATTCATACACTTGAACACAAGTTATTGTCTGGAAACTAGAAAAATGCTTGTTTTTTGGCCCCTTTTTGGCCACTAATTCCTAATATTTGGAGGAAATTACCCCAAAAATCAATCCCAGTATTCCCTTTGTGATATGGAACCTTGTAGTACAATTTCATAAAGATCCATACACTTACAAACAAGTTATTGTCATGAAACTAGAATAAAATGCTCCGCAGGGTGCAGCTTGATACGACCGCAGAGGTCGAACCCTGAACAGTTGGGGCAAGTATGGACACAACATTCAAGCTTGATACAGCTCTGAATTTGGATTGTGATTAAATATTTGAAACAGCATAGGTTTCTGACACAGAATGAATGTGGTCTAAGAACTTAAAAATTTTAAATTGGACATTCACCTATTATGGTCCAATATCCAAAATCTAAATACATGGTTAGATTCAGCATATCAAAGAACCCCAAGAATTCAATTTTTGATGAAATCAAACAAAGTTTAATTTTGGACCCTTTTGACCTCAATGTGGACAAAGTTGATAACGGGGCCCAAAAATCAAAAATCTAAATACATGGTTAGATTCAGCATACCAAAGAACCACAAGAATTCAATTTTTTGATGAAATCAAACAAAGTTTAATTTTGGACCCTTTTGACCTCAATGTGGACAAAGTCGATAACGGGGCCCAAAAATCAAAAATCTAAATACATGGTTAGATTCAGCATATCAAAGAACCCCATATATTCAATTTTTGTTGAAATCAAACAAAGTTTAATTTTGGACCCCGATTTGGACCAACTTGAAAACTGGGCCCATAATCAAAAATCTAAATACACGTTTAGATTCAGCATATCAAAGAACCCTAAAAATTCAATTTTTGTTAAAATCAAACTAAGTTTAATTTTGGACCCTTTTGACCTCAATGTGGACAAAGTCGATAACGGGGCCCAAAAATCAAAAATCTAAATACATGGTTAGATTCAGCATATCAAAGAACCCCATATATTCAATTTTTGTTGAAATCAAACAAAGTTTAATTTTGGACCCCGATTTGGACCAACTTGAAAACTGGGCCCATAATAAAAAATCTAAATACATGTTTAGATTCAGCATATCAAAGAACCCTAAAAATTCAATTTTTGTTAAAATCAAACTAAGTTTAATTTTGGACCCTTTGGACCTTAAGGTGTAATACCACCAAATCATAGTACGTCACATCCGGTTGCATACGAAAATAGGTCGAAAAAAAATATTCCCTTGAATTTGACAGTTGTAGATAATTGATCCTACATTTCATTGCAGTAAAACATTTCTGGGTCATAAACATATATCTTGGGTATTTCAAAGCACCATTTTTTTTTTATTTGGGGTTTCTATAGAATATTTTGGAAACTTGAGGTTACATGGTTACTAAAGCTTGTACACAGGTTAAAAAAGGGGGAAAATTTGATTGGTTAACTTCCAGTGATGGTTATTTTCTTATATGCAATGAAATGTTATGTGAAATTTTTTCTATAGTACTGGACAGGATCAAACTTTACTCATGCCAAGTATTTCTTTATTTGAAACAAAGATAAATTCTGCACAATTTTTTGAAAAGTGCAAATTTAACAAAGACTAATAGGGGAAATCAATGGTGGTATTACACCTAATATGGGAAGCTGTACATGCACCTTTGACCTTGTGAGTACTCTCATGTGTTAAAATTTCTTGCTATTTAAGTGAAATATTACTAATAATGAAATATTCTGAGTGGATTGAGTCTCCAAAACACATTTTATGAGAAAATTTCCTTGAAATAGGACTTTACCATGAATATTAGTTGACAGAATAAGCCATACTTAGAGTTTTGGGGAGCTTTTTCTCCTTTTTTCTTATATTCTGCTATACTAGAAAATTTTTCTTAAGAAATACTTTAATAAATATATAGTTTTAAGTAAATGAAATTATTTTTAAAGCAGTAACAACAAATTATTCACCAAAAGAGAAGCTTTTTATGTCCCTCTCTGGAACGCGGCGTAAATTTAAGTTTTACGTAAGGACTTATGGAAACCTCCTTGGAGACAGTAAACTTTTATACGGATAGTTCATTCAGCTTGAATACTTCAATTAATCATTTATTATAACATTTCTATCATAAATGAGTGAAAGTTACCCCAAATTTTTTATTTATTGGCCTATAAAGTAGAAATTTTGAGGAAATGAGAGGTATAAATGGACCAAAAGAGACCTTATAAAGAAGACAAAGAGGTCCATTAGTAGTATTTATCATCCTAAAGTCATCTTTTGTATCATATTCAACTGTTTGTAGGCAGATGAGATAAATATTTGATCATTTATTGGTCCACACTATATTCTATCATGATGCGGCTTGGTTTGGATTTTTCGAAGAAATTTAGCTCGAATCGCTGTAGATGTCGTCTTACATTATACTAGATTTTTCTCAAACTATTGAACTGATTATGACAAAACTTGACAGGAATGCTTGAAATAACCAGTATTACAAAGGAAAAAAGTCACATTCAGTTTATTTAACAAAAAAGTCTTCTTTAGGTGTAATACCACCAAATCATAGTACGTCACATCCGGTTGCATACGAAAATAGGTCGAAAAAAAATATTCCCTTGAATTTGACAGTTGTAGATAATTGATCCTACATTTCATTGCAGTAAAACATTTCTGGGTCATAAACATATATCTTGGGTATTTCAAAGCACCATTTTTTTTTTATTTGGGGTTTCTATAGAATATTTTGGAAACTTGAGGTTACATGGTTACTAAAGCTTGTACACAGGTTAAAAAAGGGGGAAAATTTGATTGGTTAACTTCCAGTGATGGTTATTTTCTTATATGCAATGAAATGTTATGTGAAATTTTTTCTATAGTACTGGACAGGATCAAACTTTACTCATGCCAAGTATTTCTTTATTTGAAACAAAGATAAATTCTGCACAATTTTTTGAAAAGTGCAAATTTAACAAAGACTAATAGGGGAAAATCAATGGTGGTATTACACCTTAATGTAGACCAATTTGAAAACGGAACCAAAAATTAAGAATCTAAATACACGGTTAGATTCGGCATATCAAAGAACCCCAATAATTCAATTTTTGATGAAATCAAACAAAGTTAAATTTTGGACCCTTTGGACCTCAATGTGGACCAATTTAAAAACGGGGCCCAAAATCCAAAAACTTAATACACGGTTAGATTCAGCATATTAAAGAACCCCAAGAATTCAAGAATAAAACCCCATTGAAATTGATCAAGAAATAAGCAATTTATACGAAGTATCTTCTTTTGCACAATACTGTGCAATTGAATATTTCTTGCTATTGCGCAATGCTGTACAATTGACAATTTCTTGCTATTGCGCAATATTGTGCTATTGGATATTTCTTGCTATTGCGCAATACTGTGCAATTGAAGATTTCTTGCTATTGCGCAATACTGTGCAATTGAAGATTTCTTGCTATTGTGCAATACTGTGCAATTGAAAATTTCTTGCTATTGCACAATACTTATTATATAATAATTTACACATCCTGTTTGGTGTGTATCTCCTACCATATCATTATTATTTGCTTTTAAATATTAATCAGAAATAACCAACTCAAAATGGAAAATTTTAAAAGAAAAAAAAAAGGAAAAAAAGAAAAAAAAAAAATCCCCCCCCCAAATTTTTTGAACCCCCTTATGATTCATCACACCCAAACTCAATCCCAGCCTTCCCTTTGTGGTATGGTACCTTGCAGTACAATTTCAGAAAGATCCATACACTTGAACACAAGTTATTGTCTGGAAACTAGAAAAATGCTTATTTTTGGCCCCTTTTTGGCCCCCAATTCCTAAACGTTTCGGGCAATTACCCCCAAACTCAATTCCAGCTTTCCCTTTGTGATATGGAACCTTGTAGTACAATTTCAGAAATATCCAAACACTTACACACAAGTTATTGTCATTAAACTAGAAAAATGCTTGTTTTTTGCCCCTTTTTTGGCCCCTAATTCCTAAAATTTTGAGGCAATTACCCCCAAAATCAATTACAGCCTTCCCTTTGTGATATGGAACCTTGTGGTACAATGTCAGAGAGATCCATACACTTACACACAAGTTTTTGTCTGGAAGTTACAAAAATGCTTATTTTTGACCCCTTTTTGGCCCCTAATTCCTTAACTGTTGGTACCATTACCCCCAAAATCAATCCCAACCTTCCTTTCATGGTATTGAACCTTATGGTAAAATTTCATGGAGATCCATTCACTTAAACTAAAGTTAGAGTGCGAAAACCAATGTGTCTTCGGACGACGCCGGACGACGCCAGACGACGACGACGACGCCAACGTCATACCAATATACGACCAAAAAATTTTTAATTTTTGCGGTCGTATAAAAATGCTTGTTTTTTGCCCCTTTTTGGCCCCTAATTCCTAAAATTTGGAGACAATTACCCCCAAAATCAATCCCAGCCTTCCCTTTGTGATATGGAACCTTGTAGTACAATTTCATAAAGATCCATACACTTACAAACAAGTTATTGTCATGAAACTAGAAAAATGCTTGTTTTTTGCCCCTTTTTGGCCCCTAATTCCTAATATTTGGAGGAAATTACCCCAAAAATCAATCCCAGTATTCCCTTTGTGATATGGAACCTTGTAGTACAATTTCATAAAGATCCATACACTTACAAACAAGTTATTGTCATGAAACTAGAAAAATGCTTGTTTTTTGCCCCTTTTTGGCCCCTAATTCCTAAAATTTGGAGACAATTACCCCCAAAATCAATCCCAGCATTCCCTTTGTGATATGGAACCTTGTGGTACAATGTCAGAGAGATCCATACACTTACACACAAGTTATGTCTGGAAGTTACAAAAATGCTTATTTTTGGCCCCTTTTGGCCCCTAATTCCTTAACTGTTAGTACCATAACCCCCAAAATCAATCCCCACCTTCCTTTTGTGGTATTGAACCTTATGGTAAAATTTCATAGAGATCCATTCCCTTAAACTAAAGTTAGAGTGCGAAAACTAATGTGTATTCGGACGACGACGCCGGACGACGACGACGACGACGACGACGACGCCAACGTCATACCAATATACGACCACAAAAATTTTTTTGCGGTCGTATAAAAATTGAAATGGTAATGCTAAAAAGGTACAATTAATGTAGGCAAGTTTTGGGGCTAATTAATTGTCCTTCAATTGGTCTTTGGTTGATGGTGGTCTCATTAGCCAACATACCAAATATAGCTTAACATAAGCTCAAAGGAGTTGGGAAAACATTTTTTTTTTCTTTTGTTTTGCAATTCATTCTTTCATTGTTTTACTAATTCCAAGCTTACTATATAGTTTACTTTCCAAAGTTGATACTTTCGTAATTAAACAATCATGAACATAGAACACATAACAATAATACCTTATTGTCAATGTAAATATCAATCAATAGTCATTTGCATTTTTTTTTAATAAATACGAACCTTTTAACAGTCAGGGGCATTACTTAAACAATTTTTTTTTTTTTTTTAAATTAAGCTACTAAATGGAGTTATTCTAAATTTAATTAGAACCATGGATGACGGTAAGTTTTTACTCAAGAGTTTTACATTATTTTATTACACAATATTAAGAATTAATCAAAATTGATAGGATATAGATAAAAGGTTCCTTTAATAAAAGGTACTACTATCATGACTATAGCATGTATAAGTTATTTTTGTACGTCTTTGAAATAATTCGCAATTACATTTATATACAATCAGGAACATACGTAATTGTTTTGAGTTTAAATTTTATAATGTCAAGTTTCAATTAAATCATATGTTTCCATCTATTTATATCAGTCTACCTTCATGACCTTCAAAATTTCTAAGGAAAATGATATTTAATAGTCCCAAAAGACCAATCTTTGACCCACTAGCTAAGTTATCATCCATTTTATACAAATTTGCATATTTTCTGTATCACACATGCATGATATTGTATGGATATTGTATGGATAAAGTACATCAAAACTATATTGGACAATGCTGGATTCTCAAACCTATTCCATGTGCAAAATACCGACCTAACAAAATGGTTACCAAAAAGTCTCAAACTTCGATTGATTGACCAGTTTAAACAAATTTGGAACTCGTCTATCCAGTGTTCTCCCCAGGGCCTTTTAGCATCATGGTAATGTGATGCTATAATCTTAAATGTGATGCTATATGAATTGGTTTTCTTATAGATTATGTTATGGATGTGATGCTATAATTTTTAGAAACAAGATGGTATTTCAATTTCCCCTGTTTACCAGGATGCTAAATGAAATATCTGGGGAGAACACTGCTATCCAGAACACTCCTAAATGCATCACATACATGCTTTTCAAGGAAAATTTAGAATTAGAAAATTATTTCAATATTATCAATGACCGAGATATATATACACTTTGCAAATTCCGAAACTTCAAACCATTCACTCCGAATAGAAAAAGGGAGATGGTATCATATTGACAGAAGTGAAAGAAAGTGTTCTATATGCCAGAATGGAGATATCGGAGACGAATATCACTATATTTTTGTTTGCCCGGCTTTGAAAGATGAAAGGAAAAGATTGATACCAAACGAACTAATAAGCAGACATAATTTATTTATTTATTTATTTATTTATTTATTTATTTTTTAAACCTTCATTTGAAAAATAACCTGATGCCTGAGAAAAATTTTTTTTTAATAAATTTACCTTTTCTTTACATGAATATAGTCAAATACCATAAATGAGGGTAGAATGCCCTTAATTGTCAAGCATCAAATGTCCCTATTTCACTACCATTAGCATCTAATTAGCCTTCATTTCTTTATTATTATACTTCAAATTTTATTTTTGTAGCTACCATCAAATAGCATCAAATGGAGTAAAACATTCATTGCTAACATTATTTCAACAAATATTTTCCTGTCAATCGTCATGTGGGCCGGGGTACACCATAGGCATGGGTGGGTCTTTTCACCACCGAACACCCAAAAAAACACCAACCACTATGAAAAACAGTGATATTATACAATAAAACGATAAAATATATTAAATTACGTATAATTAAATCAATTTTTAGATTTTTTTGTCAATATATGAGCATCATTTTTATGTTAAAGTCGATAATCAATATAATCAATATCAAGAAAAACGTCTCCGGATTCATCACTATTTTTCCGGATTACATTGTGTGTGTATATAAATTATATTCATAACAAGTAATCAGTTCAAGTATCCTTGATCTCTGTTCATCTGTTAGATTTTGATATTTGTCTCTTTTCTTATTATTGGTACAACTATTTTATATAAGACATAGAAGAAAAAAATGAAAAAAAAACATATTTGAGGTGTCTATGGTGGTCTGCGGAGTTCAAAAAGTGTGGTGTTATAGACTCTCCTTTTCTGTTCTATGTAGATATTTGGTCTCTTAATCTTATGATTTATTGAATTGATAACTTAAATATTATATTTAGGTCTCATTTATAACGATAAAAGACAAACAAATAATTTTTTGGGGTGTTCAGTGGTGAAAAGACCTATCGCCATATGCATTACTTCCTATCATTAATAATAATGATAATGTAAATCTAATGATGAGGGTGAACACTCTACATGCTCTATGGGCTAACGTGTTATGAGGACAAAAAGGCCCGATAATTTATAGTGAAGGCGTTTGTAAAATAATTAAGACGTTGAAAATGAAAGACACATTTTGGCTTTTTTGTGTATTCAGTGTCGTTGGTTTGCTGTCTCAAGAACGTTTGTTCATTATTTCGCACCTCAGTCGTTTCGTATTTATCCATTATTCTGCACTGTCTGAAACTTACATGAACATACAAAAAGTACATAATTTGATGCAAAATAACAGTGACGTCTACTTTCATTTCCTCGCACCTGTCAGAATTCAGAAAATGATTGTGTACCACATTGAAAGAAGGAAATTGATTGGACAAAAATTAAAATTGGTCCAATCCAAAAGACTTTAACAAAATTATGTAAAGCTATGCAATTATTTGATCCCATATATTTAAATTTCGATTGTTACATATCAGTTATAAACAAGATGAAGCAATTAAAAATTGAAAAAATAATATTCAGTTTGTTTTCCAATTTCATTGTCGAAAAAGTTTGAAATTCGAAAATATGAAGTCATCATTGTTTATCTGGTAGCCACAGTTTTGGCATGCCAATGCTGAACTATCGAAGTTTTAGAAGACGTTGGATTCTTTTATTTATTTTGGTTGTAGGGTGTATTGTTTTACTCTCAAAACATTTATCAAAGGTATAAAATAATGTGGTTTTCTTCTTTTGTTTACCCTTACCTCTAGAGTTTCCTTGAAGTATTTACTATTTTTATGATATAAATATATGACATATTATAATATGTTGTAAAAAGTTAATCCCTATTGGGATTCAGATTTCAGACCAGTTTTTTTTTTATAATTTGGGTTACATTTACTTACATAGGTAAAACTCTGAATTCCAATAACGATTTAACAATGTTTAAAGTGAGAAAGATTCTTGAAGTAATTACATGTATTTTGCTGTTTCAATCATGTTTTCAACATTTTTAACAATATATTAAATATGCCCAAATTATTTGCATACTAACTTTGATAGAAATGAAACATCTTATAACACAAGATCTAGTAACATGATTTTTATATACCTGGAATTCAAGGGTGTGAATCTACCACTTTTTTTTATAATGGAATAAAAGATTGGAACTCGCTTCCAGAAATAGTTAAAAGTTGCTTAACATGCTCAAAGAAATTTAATTTTAAATTACATTTGTACAAGTAAAAAATGTTGATGGATAAATTTAAATCCATCTTTAATAGTGAATTTATTTTTTTATTAATTTTACTCAAGGCTTTGAGCCCTTATTTGTGATAATTTTAAATGATTTATGTTATTTGTATACATGTTTTATGTCAACCTTGGTGTGAACTGGTAGTCTCTTCTTAAGAGGACCCTACTGGAAATAAGATTCATTAGCTTTTGTGGGTCATCCTAAGGTATTAGACTGCAGTGGAAATCTAGTCCATTTATTATTACAGTCTGGTCAAATATCAAAATAATGACAATTTCCATAATTTTTTTTAAAAATTATTTCTTAGTGATAACTGTAAATCATTTTAGTGTCTGTAATTGTGAAATCCTATTCATGTCTTAGAGTGCTATATCCATGATATCTGTATGTCATTTTAATTTATTGTGTCTGTCAAATTCATGCCTTTTATCTAGAATAAATATATATATATATATATATATAATAACAAAATCTCTTTGAATTTCTCAAAAAAAATTTAAACATTACATGTCTTATTAAAATCAATATGACATGTTTCAAATTCCTATACACACAACACATGTTCATCATCATCATGTATACAGTATACTCTAGACCAACAGTTTGGAAATCTGAAAATACAAAAGGTTGGAGAAAATATTAGAATTTGGACCTAAACAGAATAGTCAATTATGAAAAAAAGGAATATGCATGAGGATTGGCAAGTTCTGCCAACAATTCCAAATCTAACAAAAAGATCAAAAATATTAGATAAATTCTGAAATTTTCAAAAGTACTGATATATACCAGTACATGATATATTAAACAGAAAAAGATTAAATTATAATGCTAGGAGTCATCTTTAACTGGCAGTGAGGTGTGAGGAGCTTTTACTTCATATTAAAGACCTCATTGTGATTTTCAGATGAAAAACAGCAATAAAAGAGCCAATCCTTTGTTTTGAGGAAAATGTGTACAGGGCAATTATGTTTTGACTTTACTTGGGCATTTTAAACCTTGCTCTTTTATCTTACTTCTAGATTTATATTGTACATGCAGCCAAGTCTTTTGACTCAGAGTCTCTTAAATTATGTATATTTTCTGGATTTTTTCATGTATTTTAGGATTCCAGTCTCATTGAGGATGATTATGAAACTAAACACGCCATAAGAAGACAGCCATTTCAATGGAAACCAAATTTGCCTGATGTAGTCTCAAACAACAGCACTAAAATTGTACCCTGTAGGAATTCCGTCCAAGGAAAGTTGATAATTGTTGATGAAAGAGGTATACTTAATTCCACACACAAAAGTCACTTGATAAACATATGAAATCTATGCAGTGTTGGGATTAATCTAACATTGTCTGCATGCAAACATCAACTTATGGATAGTGTCCCCTTATAGTTTTGATCAGAGTGAGAAGAGTTAAAAGTAGGAATTGAATTGTTTCAATTTGAAATTACTGCAAAAAAGATTAAAACATTTCTTTTTATGATCTGTCATATATATATAGCACAAATATATCTTTGAGACCTCTCAATGCAGCTTTAAGAATTATTATATTATGATTTTACAGGGTATATCTGTAACAGAACTGAATTGGACAATAGAGGATGTTGTGATGTAACTCTTCAACATATATCAAAGCATCGCTGTGATAAGTGTAGTAGTAATGGCTGTTGTGAACAGTTTGAATTCTGTGTTTCTTGTTGTTTAAATCCTGAAAAGGTAATAAATGTAAACTTTATGATAAGATTCAGGGTTCTCAGTAATGCTAGTCCATGAGTCCTGCACTCATCAAAATCTGTCTGGACTCACCATTTTGAAAACTGATGAGTCCTAGGATGTATCAAAATTGAAATATTTTGTATACAAACTGAACACACAAATCATCATTTTATAGCAAAAGTTTAAAAGTAATCTGAATTCAATGTCATTGCATTGCTCTATTAGGTCATGGAGGCTAAAATGATGAATTATATTGCAATAAAATATCTTTTTCTTACTGTTGGACTCACCATGGCCAAAAATGACGAGTCCCTGGACTCGCCTTCAAAAATCCTTAGTGAGAACCCTGAGATTTAAATATAATGTTATCTGTATAATGAACACATACATATAGCCATTAGCTATTGGCAGCTACATTTGAATAAGTAACACTTGAATTATATATTCTCATTAACCTATTATTAGCTAACACTTGAAAATTTTGTTAAAAAAAATTAATGGCATTGTTATTGCAGCAAATTTGAAAATGATCGATAAGACTTTCAAACTCAATGCTAATTGATAAGTGAATGCTATATATCCCTATCATCAATGTATAGGGGCCTCGGTGGCCGAGTGGTCTTAGTAGTTACTACTGTAATCACTAGCCAGTCAACACTGAGGTTGTGAGTTCGAACCCCGCTCGTGCGGGTGCACTCGACTCCAATCTTAATTGACTAGGATTGTCAGTTTTCCTATCGAAGGTCGGTGGTTTTCTCCGGGCGCTCCGGCTTCCTCCACCAATAAAAACTGGCCGCCACGAAATAGCCCAAAAGCGGTGCTTAAAAGTGGCGTTAAAACACCAAAAAATCAAATCATCAATGTATGTGATTGTGAAATTAGCATATTCTATTATTTTTGTGGACTATTTAAAGTTGTCTTTGGAATGTCTTTTTCAACAGCTTTGCAGAATTGTTGTAATTTATGTTACGTTTGATGGAAATATTTTGTTGCTATACAATGATAAATATTTATTTCAGAAATCTCTGTTAACAAGGGTGTTAGAAGAAGCTAGACAGTTAGGAGATAGGTCTTTAGCATCTGTTGGGGATCAATTTGAGTTGTGTTTAGCTAAATGTAGAACATCTTCTCAGGTAATCATTGTTATAACAGTGATTGATATAAGTCTGTCTTCTGCTATGAAGTTTTTGATTTTTAAACTACACCTACAAAGTCAGAATAAAATTTGCTAACTTGCCTGTTATTATTACTCTTCTAATTAATTTTTCATTTGAGGGGATCAAATTGATATCAATAAGCATCATCTGATTTTAATGTATAGCAGTAAATTTTCAGGCCATCATATTTTTGTATGAGTATTATATGTTCATGCAGTTTATAGTCCACTGTTTGTATGCCCATCAACAATGAAGGTATTACAATAAACTGTTGTCAATCCATTTGAATATGTGTTATGATAAGTTAAGTTTGCTTTTATCAATCCTTACACAATGATTGGTCTGTGAAGACAACCTTCTTTGATGCTTTTCAAATTAGTCACTCCAAAGTTATGGGACTTTAATTGTTGAAAATTTGACAAATCGAGGTACAATTATTATAGCTCAAGTTTTCCTTGTTAGATATTTCAAGTTTGTTGATACATTGTATAAAATTTACCTTTTTATTTTGACAATTTTGAGATTTTTCTTTTCAGACTTTTGTACTTGAATTGTTAAAAATTGGTTTAAAAGGAACATAGTATTTATTGTGCATGTTGTGTAAAACTACAAATATAACAAATAGTTTAACAATTATGTAATTTTCTTATTTCAGAGTGTTCAACATGAGAATTCTTACAGAAATCCAAAAGCCAAATACTGTTATGGAGGAAATCCACCAGAACTATTGTCTCTAAATTCATAATCTATGTAATTAACATTCCAAAGGACTTGTATTTGTATATATTGAACATATTATAATTTATTGTGTAAATAGTATTTATATTTTTGTAAATTTTTTGTTGTACCTGATATAATGGCTACAGCTACAAAGAAACCTAAGGTGAAGAAGCCAGAGGAAAATCCATTTAAAATTCTATGGATGAATTCTTGTTACCAACAAACTTTATTACCAGATGCTCCATGGCATAAGGTAGGTAGGATCTATCTGTAAACTACAATATAAAAAAGGAGATGTGGTATGATTGCCAATTAGAAAACTATCTACCAAAGACCAAATGAAGTAGATGTTAGCAACTATAGGTCATGGCAATAGTAAAACAATTCAAACGAAAAAACCAATGACCTGATTTACGTACAACGCTATTTTATTTTTGTCATGGTTAGAGTACAATGCCATTAATCCAGTTCATATAATAAATATTTTCAGTTGAGATTTGCACCGAAATATGATTAGTTTTTCTCACTTGATCTGAAAGTAAATCATGTGTAAATAGAGGAGATATATATATCATGATGTTATTGTTATTTCAGTGCTATCATTTTTTGTCATCTGAAAGAATGTACTAATAGTGATTTGCCCTAAGTTGTGGAAAACAATTTTTTGAGACTCTGTTAACAAACATTTTTACCTAGATTACTACAATGGGTATTCTTATCATAAATAACAAAAACTGAAAAATTTAGATTTTTCATAAAAAGTTTATATTTTGCAGATTGAAGATAAAATAGCTGAAAGTCTGACATTGAAGGTGGAGAGACAATTTGGAAAACCAGAAAGGAAAGAGGCACTCCTACAGAATCTAGGTGGTCCATTTGTCAGCAAATATTTGCCTGATGCTGACTGGAACCCACAACTTCTGGTAAGGGCAATTTCACAAAATCTTTCTGCATATTTTGGGGTCAGAAACCACAAATTCTAGTAGAGATTTTCTACAAAATCCTTTTACAGCCGTTTTGTGGACTAGAATACTGTGAATTGATTATAATTTGATTGATACCAATTTTTGCAGACTTTATGGGTATAAGTGAAGCACGAATTTAAATGTTCAATGAAGTACAAAATTTCTGTAGGCCAATGTGCAAACTTTGGCAACACCACTAAATTGATTACTGGAACCCACAAACATTCTGATAACCATTGCCCCACAGAATAAATGTACTGCATGTTTCAAACTGGGACCCACAAGTTTTGTGAAAGGTTTTTGACAAAAGCAGTACACAACTTGTTAAAAACTGGAACCCACAACTTTTTTGTAAGGGTAACTTACAAATAAACACTTACCACAGAGAAAAATCAAACATCAACATGGTACTGGTATTAAAATGGCATAGAATCATTTTACAGGTTTTTGTGAACTGATACAATTTTTAATAAGGATTGCTTCACAAACTTTTATGAACAGACTTCTTCAAGGCTCATAAATTCAAATTTGATGGAAGGTTGTTGATCATTATTTATAATATAATTTTTTGTTTGCCCAATTGAGCTTATATAGCCAGATAAGGCTATATAAGCTTCAAACAGCAAATATCCCGAACCTGTTTAAATCCTCTTGGCACTTTTCTAGATCATATGTAGCTCTTAGTCTGAAACATTGAAACTAGTGTCATGAAAATTGATGTTAGATTCTTCATCATATAAATTGTTTTGTTTTTGGTAAAACTTAATTGTTTTTCTTATAGGAACCACCAAACATGGCACCTCATGAGAAACAGAAAATACTGAAAGAAGCCCAGGCCTATCTAAATAGCCAGATGTATAAATGTGTTAAAGATATAGGCTACCAAAAAATGTTAGGGGCTGGAAACAATGGGTAGGTTGTATTAATGATAAGAAATGTTGAAAAAGAACACATTATCACTTTGTTTTCACTTTTTATTTTGATGTGCTCATTATTTAGTATTGACCATAGCATTTGATGTATAGAATAAAATGCTTTCATGAATGCTGGCTCCTGTTTTGTTTGTTCCAGGTATGTTCTGTGCAAAAAGAAAAATTATCTTTACAGCAAGATTTAGAGCTATTTTCCTAATGCTTGTAGTTTAAAGGTTTGGTTGGCTTGCTTGCTTTGTTTGTGAAATTGTTTGCTCAAGCATTGTAATTAAGATTGACATCTGCAAGCAATAGATAAACGGGGCTTCAGCTTGTAAACATTATACTTAAATGTTATTAGATGTTAAGTATAATGCAGTGTATAATGTACACAAGCTAATGCCCCGCCCATCTATTGATGGCAGATGTCAATCTTAAATTACAATGCTTGAGCAAACATTCATACAAACAAAACAAGCAAGCCAATAAAACCTTTAAACTACATGCATTAGGAAAATAGCTCTAATATTATCATATTTGAGGTAGAGAGACCATCATATGGAAAAAACTAGGTTTTGCATTTAGCATATAATTTTGGCATATTATTACTGGCATATGTGTACCATGTGTATGCTCCTTCTGTAAGTTTGAAGAAAAAAAAATACTCTTGTATAAAGAATTAAAGTTGGAATTTGATGAAAATTGACAGCTGCTGTGTTATTTATATGCACAAACTACACTTTCATTTTACTTGTATGAAATTAACAGATTAATTGATTTATTATACACCCGCTTAAAAAAAGTGGGGTATACTGTTTTACCTCTGTCTGTCCATCCGTCAGTCCGTCACTCCGTCCACCCGTCCCATGAATATTTTTCGTCACATTTTTCTCAGGAACTACAATACAAGGATTTCTGAAATTTGGTTTCAGGGTTTATATGAGTCAGCTATACCGTGTGATGTGTTTTCAGATTCATCACTCAACAACTTCCTGTTTACCTTATACTTTTATTGAGGCGGGGGTATCATTAGTGAGCAGTAGCTCACAGATTCACTTGTTCTCTGCTTTTTTTTAAAGTAAATCTTTCTATTTACAGAGATATACCACAAGATTATTCTGAGTTTATGCAGCATTCATATAACATATTTAACAGAGGACTTGATAGAGAGTTGTACAGACAGGAACAAGAACTATCTGTAAGTTTTAAAACATTGAGATGAAGTTCATACCAGTATTCAGAAAATCTTAATTTTCATGGTTTGACCTCAGAAGATAATAACCTTAATAGAGTTCTTAATTTCATGGCTTTCTTCCATGGAAATTATCATTCCAAAATATTGATAAGTCCACTGCTGTAAAAAATTAGATATAAGACAATCTTACATAAACAAGAATTAAAGATTTCAACGAGTTTGCTAGAGAGGATAAATGTATGATGCATAAGATTTTCAGTAAAACCTTCAAAATATGCCATTAATTTTTTGCAATCTTTTGACCCAAGAATTTTTCGTAATCCTCAGTTCAATAATCCAGGTTCTCAGATCTACAGTTGGTTAAAAAATTAATTCAAATCACAAAGGAACTACAGATGTATGTTTTGTCTGTCATCTAATAGAATATCTCTGTCAGAGTACTTAATAGGAAAATATGTATATTTTGTATGTAGAAAAAGAAGCTTAGTGAGATTATGATGGAGAAGAAACTTGATTTTAAGATTCCGGCACCTAGTAGACACAAAGTTAATTCATTATCGTCATCTATATCAACACCTGCCTCAGAGAAAAAGCCATCATCAGCTGTTATCAAAGGTATGAAGAAGCTTCAGTTTTAAAATTTATCATTTAAAAAAAAAAAGAAAATTTAAATGAATACTTAAGAATAAGCATCAGGTCGTTAGTTTTCTCGTTTGAATTGTTTTACATTTATCATTTCGGGGCCTTTTATAGCTGACTATGTGGTATGGGTTTTACCCATTGTTGAAGGCTGAACAGTGACCTATAGTTGTTAATTTCTGTGTCATTTGGTCTCTTGTGGAGAGTTGTCTCATTGGCAATCATACCACATCTTATATTTATATCTGTTTCGATTTAATTGCTTATTTCTTTTATTTGCAGACATGGTACAGCGAGTTGATGGTGACCCTCCACCATTGTGGGGCCCACAGAGTGATGCTATAGGAAGGTCTATTCTAGCAGTACTGGAACGAGATCCAAGAAAGTTTGATCATGTGGCCAGAAGTTTGCATGGGAGACAACTCCCTGGAGCACTCAGAAGCTTCATGTGGTCAGATGTTCTCTTCAAAGAAGAAAGAAAAAGATTGCATGAAGGGTGAATACTTTTGAATTGTTATTTGTAAATTTGATTTATAGTTTTCAGGAAAATGTGAAAAAATTACTTTGATTCTTTTAATGTTTTTTGTAAAGAATAATGTAAACATTAATTAATTAATGACTTATATTAAAGTACATGAAATGACTAAAATTTAAACAGTAAGACGCAATAGAGCTTCTTGTTATAGAATTTTCCCCTTTGTGTTAAAAAACAGTATGAAAAAATATGGTTTCCTCAAATGTTTTATAGTGAAATTGTTGAATTGTTTCAAAATTTATTTCTAAAAGAAAGATAAAAAAAATTCATTCATGGGGTACAAAGTAATTAAATCCACAGTTTTAGGACATGGTTTACAAACTCTTTAAACACATGGTTAAATAGATTTTTTTTTTAAAACACTAAAGAGAAGAAATTTTGCCTTTAGACCATTCTTAGTGTATGAATTTCAAATATCTTTATGCTTTTAAAGGGAGCCGAATGAATGGTAAGTGTGTGTGACTAGATATTGTGCTAAAGAAAAGAGACATTTGGATAAAAAATATTGAAACTGCATGTGAAAGAGCTAGTGTAGTAACAATTTTATCAGATTCAACACAGAAACACAGATCTATTACATTGGAATGTTGTTTTCTACAGCAGAAATCATACATGTGTAAAAAAATCATTTCTGCAAGTGGTCAATTTTTATACGACCGCCAAAAAATTTTGTGGTCGTATATTGGTATGACGTTGGCGTCGTCGTCGTCGTCCGAAGACACATTAGTTTTCACACTCTAACTTTAGTTTAAGTGAATGGATCTCTATGAAATTTTACCATAAGGTTCAATACCACAAAAGGAAGGTTGGGATTGATTTTGGGGGTTATGGTACCAACAGTTAAGGAATTAGGGGCCAAAAATAAGCATTTTTTGTAACTTCCAAACATAACTTGTGTGTTAGTGTATGGATCTCTCTGACATTGTACCACAAGGTTCCATATCACAAAGGGAATGCTGGGATTGATTTTGGGGGTAATTGCCTCAAAATTTTAGGAATTAGGGGCCCAAAAAAGGGGCAAAAAACAAGCATTTTTCTAGTTTCATGACAATAACTTGTGTGTTAGTGTATGGATCTTTCTGAAATTGTACTACAAGGTTCCATATCACAAAGGGAAAGCTGGAATTGAGTTTGGGGGTAATTGCCCTAAACGTTTAGGAATAAGGGGCCAAAAAGGGGCCAAAAATAAGCATGTTTCTAGTTTCTAGACAATAACTTGTGTTCAAGTGTATGGATCTCTCTGAAATTGTATTGCAATGTACCATACCACAAAGGGAAGGCTTGGATTGATTTTGGGTGTAATTGCCTCAAAATTTTAGGAATAAGGGGCAAAAAACAAGCATTTTTCTAGTTCCAGGACAATAACTTGTGTGTAAGTGTATGGTTCTTTATGAAATTGTACTACAAGGTTCCATATCACAAAGGGAAAGCTGGGTTTGAGTTTGGGGGTAATTGCCCTAAACGTTTAGGAATTTGGGGCCTAAAAGGGGCCTAAAAACAAGCATTTTTCTAGTTTCCAGACAATAACTTGTGTTCAAGTGTATGGATCTCTCTGAAATTGTACTGCAAGGTACCATACCACAAAGGGAGACTAAGGCTGGGATTGAGTTTGGGGGTGATGAATCATAAGGGGGTTCTAAAAATTTGGGGGAGGGATTTTTTTCCCCTTTTTTTCCTTTTTTTTTCTTTAAAATTTTCCATTTTAAATTGGTTATTTCTGATTTATATATAAAAGCAAATAATAATGATATGGTTTGAATAGGTAAATTAAAACATTTTAAGTTCTTAGACCACATTCATTCTGTGTCAGAAACCTAGGCTGTGTCAAATATTTAATCACAATCCAAATTCAGTGCTGTATCAAGCTTGAATGTTGTGTCCATACTTGCCCCAACTGTTCAGGGTTCGACCTCTGCGGTCGTATCAAGCTGCGCCCAGCGGAGCATTTTATTGATTTATTTTATTAAGAGCTGTTACAAAAAAAATCAGAAATAGACACTCAAGTTTTTGGACATCTAGATGAAACTAGAATCAAGCTGTTCATTTGAGAATTATTATTTCATTACCTTACAATATAAATAGCTCTTGGTAAATTTAATTTGTTAATTGCAAGAAAATTTGTTAATTATTTGGTGTAATTATCATCAGTTTCATAACAGTCATACTCCATCACATTCATTTTACTTATACCTGGAAAATGTTTAATATAATGAATAATAAGTATATTAATATAATGATCTCTTAACAAGGTCTTTATTGAATTTAAACCATCATCTTCTAATTAAACATTAATGTTAATTACATAATAATGAATTAAATCGTGCAAAAACTATTTCAATATAAATTAAAGATTACAAAAGCTTAGTAGGTTTACCATTTTTTTTGCCAAAAAAATTATAGTTAGGACTCAGTAATAAAAGTTCTGATTTAATAAAAATCTTAACCTTTATTACATATTTAGTATATATTGAAATGAATTTAAACGAACACAGCTAAAGTTTGAGTTATCTGCAACCAAATATATTGTATTAAAAATCTTCAATACTATATTAAAAAGACCAAGTCACATACAACAGTAAATTTGGCTAAATGCACAAAAAACTTCATGGTAACTTATACTTGACCATTAGTGTACTTTTGCTATTAAAACAAGTGTCAGTAGTCATCACATCTTAAAATAAAGACAACTGTCAATGCTTTCTTTATTTGCATTGTGCAGATGGGAATTTTATAAAAGAGCATCTAGTATACTGTTTATAATATCGCTTAAAGAAATTATTCTTTATAGCAATTTGCATTTTTAAAATAACTTTAGAGTTTCTTTGGTAGTTAGGTGCTCTTGATATTTAATTTTTTCAGATCGTTTCAGCTATCGCAAGTATTGAATACATTCAAGTCTTGCTAATGTCATCTGAAGAAAGGACAAGATGTTAATGATCTTTCAGTATATGAAAGAGTTAATCAATTGCATGTTTAAGATCTTTGAATAATCGTGGACACTCTAGTTCATCTTATCATGCTTATAGCTATCTTCGTCAACTTTAATAATGCTCTTTTATATTCACTGGTTACACCACAAATGCTGTAAATTCAGAAATTATTGCAATTTTTTTATTATTGCAAAAACTGTGATGGGATAGGTGCCACAATTATAAAACTTGCACTTTAAATTTGGAAAGCATTATTTGCATGCAAAATTTCCTGAAATTATTATAATTTATCTCCCATTTTTTTACATTTTTCAACAATCGCAATAATAAATGCATGCAAAAAATTTCTGAATTTACAGTACACTTTCTAAGTCTCGAACTTTGACAAATATGGAAGTTATCAATAAATTAAAATTTTCTTTATTAAAGTAATGTTGAGAAAGTTGTTAGAGAAAGATTTGCCAAAGCTGTCTCAAGAGGTATAGAAGATTTGAAGATAAGCAGAGCCACATATTCACCAATTCATGGTCTCATACAGACTGCTGTTATTGAGGTAAGATAATCTCTTTAAAAAATATAGCATTTATTTTTTTATTTTTAAAGCACAGTGTATTTTGTCTTTGGAAAGCAGAATAAGTTTAAAATATATTGCCTGAAATTAACCTTTTACTTACCCCTTTCGAATACTCTTGAGAACAAAATTTATAAAATAATCAAAACTTTGATTAAAAATTGGCATTTAGATGTTTTCTGGTCATTAGTGTTGTTTGGGTTGCTGTCCCTTTTCTAATACCCTTTTATTCATGTTTCTGGTATTTATATTTCAGACATACAATAAAACAACCAGCATGGTTGCCTACAAATCTGATTCTCATATCAAAGAATCCTGTCGTGCACTGAATGTGCTGTATGTCTATGACAGAAGTTACGAACCCTATCTCATCCACTGGCTGTTCCCATTACAACTGGCTTTCCAAAGGAGTTCTAATACTACAACAGAAATAGGTAAAATACTTTGATACTACAATTATATATTTAGGAACATCATTGAGTAGCAATTTGAATGAAATTTTTAAAATTTGCCATTCATCAATTACAATAAGTACAACTGTCATATTTGTATGAGATAAGTCATTCTTACAGCTTCACAGTAGGAGTAATGGTAAGGTTGCATCAAAACAAAAGTTACAATAACTTGTTTATTGTCATGTTTAGAAGTATAGTCTATTTTTGAAGTACTTTATAAAATTAAAAAGATCTGTTGCTAAATTTTTTTTACTCAGTATATATTTAAAGAAATAAAGAACTGTTGAACCAACACCGCCTAAATTTCGTGCTGGTAGAGTTCCCTTAAGTGGATACCAGATGGTATGCAGGGTTGTCAGATTAAAAAAAAATTAAATACCGCTAAATTGACATCAACACTTAATTAAACTGCAACTTTTATTGGTCCAATAAAAGTTACAGTTTCCCTAAGTGTTGTCAATTTAGCGGTATTTCAGTATATATTTGTATTTTTACAGGAGAACATGTATACGAAGTTGCCATGTACTTAGATCTTTTAAACTCCAGCTGTTTTCCCACCTGGCCTCAGGTGTTTGCTATAGCAGAGCAAGTCATGAATACAATGATGTTAACTGATCCTGACCTTTATACTCATCTGAAATCCATAGCAACAACAAATGTCAAGGTCAACAAAAAGGTATGTAATCTTTTACCCAATCTTTATACTTGCCTAATAAACTATAGTAACACCAAGTGTCAAGTTTAATAAAAGCAAACCTTCTTAGTAGTATCAGGGCTGCATGTTTGTCATGAGAGATGGATGTAATGTGCTTGCTCACTAACCCAGTCAAAGGAAAGACTTAAAATTGATACTTGCTACATTTCTATGCCAAGCATTGGAATGTCCATGAAACATAACATATCTTTCCTGCTAAACATTACCATGTGAACCAGAATCAATGCATAAGTCTAGTACAGAACAGGGTATATTCCTATGATATTATCCTGAATATGCATGTAATATTTGCCACTGGATGGTTAATCAAAGATCTATGAATAGATCAATAAAAGCAAGATATCATTATACATTTTTGATTAGGGCCCCGCCGAATGGCGGCCGCCCTATAGTGATCAGTCCGTCTCCGTCCATCCGTCTGTCCGTCCGTCCGTAACAAATTGTGTCCGCTCTATATCTAGAGAACCGTTATGATTTCAAAGTTTATACTTGACATGTATATTAACCAACACCAGAGGGTGTGTCATAATGTATGTACAACTTCCTAGGTCAAAGGTCAAGGTCAAAAACTTTGGTTTTAGTTGACAACCCCATGTCCTATGATAAAGATCGTGTCCGCTCTATATCTTGAGAACCGTTATGATTTCAAAGTTTATACTTGCCATGTATATAAACCAACACCAGAGGGTGTGTCATAAATTATGTACAACTTACTAGGTCAAAAGTCAATGTCAAAAACTTTGGTTTTAGTTGACAACCCCATGTCCTATGGTAAAGATCGTGTACGCTCTATATCTTGAGAACCGTTATGATTTCAAAGTTTATACTTGACATTTTTATAAACCAACACCAGAGGGTGTGTCATAATTTATGTACAACTTCCTAGGTCAAAGGTCAAGGTCAAAAACTTTGGTTTCAGTTGACAACCCCATGTCAAATGATAAAGATACAAATTTTTTACCACACATTATTCACAGCGGGGCACACAGAGATGGCTCCCATCTCAATGATATCTAGTTTCACTATACAAGCTGTATTACTAGAATATTGTAAATTCAGAAAAATAAAAACTTGCATTTTAAATTCTGATAGCATTATTTGTACGCAGGATTTGCTAATATCGCAATAATTAATCTCTGATATTGGTTCATTCTTCAAAAATTCCAACATTAATTTACATTATATGAATTTGATAGAAGTTATATTATGTGCTGTATTTTCTTCTTCACAGACAAATACTAAAAATAAGAAGATGTGGTATAATTGCCAATGAGACAACTCTCCACAAGAGACCAAATGACACAGAAATTAACAACTATAGGTAACCTTACGACCTTCAACAATGAGCAAAACCCATACCGCATAGTCAGCTATAAAAAAAAACATTAAATGTTCACTAGCCCACTTTAACATTATAGTTACACTTGGAATACCATTGTATTAAACATTGCTAGATAGTTTATCAGAATGGGGAAATGTGACAATAAAGAATTTGATCAGTTGAATGTTTAAGCTCTTTCACTTATCATATTAACATTCATGTACATTTTGTGCATACTATTTCTGATGAAAAATTTATTGTATTGAAATACAATTATCCAAAATAAATTGAAAACAAATTATATTTCTATAATGACAGGAATTTCTGCATCAGTTGATCAGTATCGAGAAAGCAAAGGCTGAGGAACTCCTGAAGGCTACTCCAGGAAGTAAACGAGAAGAAAATATTACTACTGAATTACTGGCTGACCCACTTGTTTTCTTCAGACGGTGGATAGGGGAGGTAATTACGTATAATTATAAAATAGTGACTCCAATTATTGGCTGATCCTCTCATTATTTGCAGAATGTGGATTGGGTCGGTGAATTCAATTTTTAACCAGATTTTCAAAGGAAAAATCGGTTATTGATTTGGGGATGTACGGCGGGCAAGCGGCTGCCAAACAGTGTCCATTCATTAACATGAAAACTCTTTGACAAAATCTTTTCAAATTTAGATATGTTGTTTCTTGTGACTAAATGAAGGTCAAGTTCAATTTTCAAGATTTTAGCTTTTCTTGTTGTTGAGTTGTAGACCTTTCAGTAAGGAAAAGTGATATTTATTATATGATTTATTATGCCCCACCTAGTGGCATCATGTTTTTCGGTCTGTACGTCTGTTCTTCCGTCCGTTCGTTCGTCCGTCTGTCTGTCCCGCTTCAGGTTAAAGTTTTTGGTCACTTTAGGTTAAAGTTTTTGTTCGAGGTAGCTTTTGATTAAGTTGAAGTCCAATCAACTTGAAACTTAGTACACATGTTCCCTATGATATGATCTTTCTAATTTTAATGCCAAATTAGAGTTTTGACCCCAATTTCATGGTCCACTGAACATAGAAAATGATAGTGCGAGTGGGGCATCCGGGTACTAAGGACACATTCTTGTTTTTATTTTGAGTTATTTCCCTTTGAACAGAAATGGTGTAATTAATAAGTATATGGATAAGATAGTCTATCAATGATTGTATCTGTTCAATTGATTTTAGTGAGGAGTTGTCAAAAATTTCTTTATAACTATTTTTTTGTAAGTCATGTGTGTTTTGAAGGTAGATGTCACAGTTGTTATGTGGTATTTTATTTTTGTTGGGTGTGTTAATGTTTAATTTTTACTTGATCCTGTTTGGGGGTCCAGATTTGCAAATATCATTTTCATTAGATAATAATCTGTTTTTATTAAAGGATATATTTCATTATATTACATTGTGTAGATAAAGTTGTTGACATTGATAGATAAGTTGAAGATATTAGTTTGTGACAAATGAAAGAAAAAATATTGGGATATATAAAGTTTGATAACACTAAGTGTTTTTATGATAACAAAGCATGTGGTAATTATCAATCACACAATTATAATTGGAGTGACAGATTTATTTGAAAAATTTGTGTTTCCTAAGTGTTGTTGATGATAAGCTCTGTAGGACAATATAAATATAGTTTGAAATTTACTGTTCGTTATTAGACATTTTGAAGATAATTACAGATAAGTTGTATAGATTTTTAGAATACATTGTATTAATGATAAATGATATTTTGGATTTTTTTTTTTTTTTTTCGTTGGTAAATTGTTTGAAGATTTTTGTGGTAGGTTTGTTTGCTATTCTGTATAATCTAATTTTCTGAATGCTATACCGGTATATATTTTTTTTACTTGATCCTGTTTGGGGGGTCCAGATTTGCAAATATCATTTTCATGCAGGAAAATCCGGTTTGCTGTCACTCTGACAGCCTCTTGTTATGATTATTCTCAATTAGATACTGTTAAATTATACTGATATATGCGTTTTGATTATTGCTGGAATTGTTATGTTAACTATTAATAATAATATAAACTTCCATTAATCCATGAATGAATTATTGCAGCAAACATTATTGAAAGCATGGAATCTTAGTATGGATTCAAATAGGATGTACTGCTTTCACTTTCTGAACAAAGATGGGCTTTTGGACCATTGAAGCAACTGTGTTTTTATATTCTTCAGACTACATTTAAATCAGATGAAAAGAACATTTAATGTTAAGCAAGAATTATATTGTGCTTCTAACAGTTTCATTTAATTTTTCCAATGATAGAAATAAAATGAGGGCCTAATGAGAATGCCTGAAAGGTCCCATTTGATTTCAACATTTGTAATCCTGGGATGTGTGACCATCTTAATTTTCCATATATTGTTTTGGAGATAATTTTGTTCATTGATAATGCTACTCTTATTAAAATCTTCATCAGAGTTATGTGTTCCATGAATTATTCCTTACATGTGTATATATTTAAGGGGTTTGTGAGTGTGTTAGATACACCTGGAGTAATGTATGTATGGGACCAGCTATTTATGCAGAATTGGAGCGACAGTGTCCTGAAGAACTTCAGTCTGGCCTTGGTAGAGCTTCTAAGATACAAGTTCATGGAGGCTAGAGATTACAAAACCATGAAAGAGGTTCTTAAATAACATTATTATACTGAAAGTTTTCCTATTATAGATTAGCAAGGTGTTATTAAACTCATTTCAATTGGATTTTTAAAAGAAATTAGATGACGGAATATCAGTCCGTGGTGAAATTAAGAAAGTGGTTATACAATGAAACATCATCTATACATAGAAACCTGTACAATTTAAGTCTTAAACAAAAATGTATACTAGATATTCTGCTGTAAATGTTTAAACATATTTTTTTATCTGAAATATAATGTCATAGAGTGACATATAAAGCAGGTTCAATCAACAGTTCAAGTACTGATTTAGATATTTTTTGAAGGAGGCCTCTAGCTGGATCTACCCGGGAAAGGGAGTTCAGATCCTATTTTCATCAATTTTAAAACATTTCCTAAGAAAGGGGTTCCCAGCACTGAAAATTTCCCTCATGATCTGCCAAAGAATTCAATAGACATTTTATTGTCCATTGTGTGTATATTCACTTAATAGCATGTTGTTTTTTTACTGTAAAAAGTAACACAAAAATAACAATTTGTTAAATTCTTAAGTTTGTAAATGACAAAATGGCTTAATACTTTGATTTTAAAGATTTAAAAGTAAGTTATTTTTGCAATTCAGGTATTCCTTTTTGAGCCAAGCAAGTTATACACGGTAGATATTCAAATGGCATGGATCCATTTAGAAAGTGGCAAAGATCTAATGGAGGTCCCTTATCTCAACAGAAGACGAATACAGTAAGTAACAAAAAAGTTACACCAAATATTTACGCATGCTCTCTAATGTACTTGAGAGTGTCCAATTCAATTTTAACTTTATCAATAGGTACTTTAGAAAAAGTATCTTGCTCCAAATTGCTCCTGTGGTAAATCTAAAATAAGTTTCTTACAAAGTAAAGCTTAAGCTGCTGAGCTTTTTATACGACCGCAAACAAATTTTTGTGGTCGTATATTGGTATGACGTTGGCGTCGTCGTCGTCCGGCGTCGTCGTCCGGGTCGTCGTCGTCGTCGTCGTCGTCGTCGTCCGGCGTCGTCCGAAGACACATTGGTTTTCGCACTCTAACTTTAGTTTAAGTGAATGGATCTTTATGAAATTTTACCACAAGGTTCAATACCACAAAAGGAAGGTTGGGATTGATTTTGGGGGTTATGGTAATAACAGTAAAGGAATTAGGGGCCAAAAAGGGGCCAAAAATAAGCATTTTTGTAACTTCCAGACATAACTTGTGTGTTAGTGTATGGATCTCTCTGACATTGTACCACAAGGTTCCATATCACTAAAGGAATGCTGGGATTGATTTTGGGGGTAATTGCCTCCAAATTTTAGGAATTAGGGGCCAAAAAAGGGGCAAAAAACAAGCATTTTTCTAGTTTCATGACAATAACTTGTGTGTAAGTGTATGGATCTTTCTGAAATTGTACTACAAGGTTCCATATCACAAAGGGAAAGCTGGGTTTGAGTTTGGGGGTAATTGCCCTAAACGTTTAGGAATTTGGGGCCAAAAAGGGGCCAAAAAACACATTTTTTTCTAGTTTCCAGACAATAACTTGTGTTCAAGTGTATGGATCTCTCTGAAATTGTACTGCAAGGTACCATACCACAAAGGGAAGGCTGGGATTGAGTTTGGGGGTGATGAATCATAATGGGGGTTCAAAAAATTTTGGGGGGGATTTATTTTTTTTTCCTTTTTTGTTTCTTTTAAAATTTTCCATTTTAAGTTGGTTATTTCTGATTTATATTTAAAATCAAATAATAATGATATGGTAGGAGATACACACCAAACAGGATGTGTAAATTATTATATAATAAGTATTGTGCAATAGCAAGAAATTTTCAATTGCACAGTATTGCACAATAGCAAGAAATCTTCAATTGCACAGTATTGCGCAATAGCAAGAAATCTTCAATTGCACAGTATTGCGCAATAGCAAGAAATATCCAATAGCACAATATTGCGCAATAGCAAGAAATTGTCAATTGTACAGTATTGCGCAATAGCAAGAAATATTTAATAGCACAGGATTGTGCAAAAGAAGATACTTCCTATAAATTGCTTATTTCTTGACCAATTTCAATGGGGTTTTATTCTTGATTTCATGGGGTTCTTTAATATGCTGAATATAACCGTGTATTTAGTTTTTGGATTTTGGGCCCCGTTTTTAAATTGGTCCACATTGAGGTCCAAAGGGTCCAAAATTAAACTTTGTTTGATTTCATCAAAAATTGAATTATTGGGGTTCTTTGATATGCCGAATCTAACTGTGTATTTAGATTCTTAAATTTTGGTTCCGTTTTCAAATTGGTCTACATTAAGGTCCAAAGGGTCCAAAATTAAACTTAGTTTGATTTTAACAAAAATTGAATTCTTAGGGTTCTTTGATATGCTGAATCTAAACATGTATTTAGATTTTTGATTATGGGCCCAGTTTTCAAGTTGGTCCAAATCGGGGTCCAAAATTAAACTTTGTTTGATTTCAACAAAAATTGAATATATGGGGTTCTTTGATATTCTGAATCTAACCATGTATTTAGATTTTTGATTTTTGGGCCCCGTTATCAACTTTGTCCACATTGAGGTCAAAAGGGTCCGAAATTAAACTTTGTTTGATTTCATCAAAAATTGAATTCTTGGGGTTCTTTGATATGCTGAATCTAACCATGTATTTAGATTTTGGATATTGGACCATAATAGGTGAATGTCCAATTCAAAATTTTATAGTTCTTAGACCACATTCAATCTGTGTTAGAAACCTATGCTGTGTCAAATATTTAATCACAATCCAAATCCAAAGCTGTATCAAGCTTGAATGTTGTGTCCATACTTCCCCCAACTGTTCAGGGTTCGACCTCTGCGGTCGTATCAAGCTGCGCCCTGCGGAGCATTTTATTAGAAGAAGGGACTATATGGCAATCACCTTTTTAGCTCACCTGGTCCGAAGGGCCAAGTGAGCTTATCTCATCACTCAGCGTCCGTTGTCATCATTGTCGTCGTTGTCGTCGTTAACTTGTTACATTTTGAACTTCTTCTAGAGAACCACTGAATGGAAGGAAACCAAACATGGCATGAATGTTCCTTATGGGGTGCTGACCAAGTGTTGTTACTTTGAAGTCGATCCATAATCCAAGATGGTCGCCAGCAGGGGACTTATTTTAACATAGGACCCTATGGGAAATACATACAAATGTCTTCTTTTACAGAACCACTGAATGGAATGAAACCAAACATGGCATGAATGTTCCTTATGAGATGCTGACCAAGTGCTGTTACTTTGAAGCTGATCAATCATCCAAGATGGCCGCCAGCGGGGGACTTAGTTTAACATAGGACCCTATGGGAAATACATACAAATGTCTTCTTTTAGAGAACCACTGAATGGAATGAATCCAAACATGGCATGAATGTTCCTTATGAGGTGCTGACCAATTGTTGTCGATCCATAATCCAAGATGGCTGCCAGCAGGGGACTTAGTTTAACATAGGACCCTATGGGAAATATTTACAAATGTCTTCTTTTAGAGAACCACTGAATGGAATGAATCCAAACATGGCATGAATGTTCCTTATGAGGTGCTGACCAATTGTTGTCGATCCATAATCCAAGATGGCTGCCAGCAGGGGACTTAGTTTAACATAGGACCCTATGGGAAATATTTACAAATGTCTTCTTTTAGAGAATCACTGAATGGAATGAAAAAAAACATGGCATAACTGTTCCTTATGAGGTGCTGACCAAGTGTTGTTACTTTGAAGGCGATCCATCATCCAAGATTGCCGCCAGCAGGGGACTTAGTTTAACATATGACCCTATGGGAAATACATACAAATGTCTTCTTTTAAAGAACCACTAAATGGAATGAAATAAAACATGGCATGAATGTTCCTTATGAGGTGCTGACCAAGTGTTGTAACTTTGTAGGCAATCAATCATCCAAGATGGCCGCCAGCGGGGACTTAATTTAACATAGGACCCTATGGGAAATATATACAAATGTTTTCTGTTAGAGAACCACTGAATGGAATGAAACCAAACATGACATGAATGTTCCTAATGAGGTGCTGGCCAAGTGTTGTTACTTTGTAGCCAATCAATCATCCAAGATGGCGTCAGTGGGGAACTTAGTTTATCAAAGGACCCAAGTGAAATACATACAAAAGTCTTCTTTTGAAGAACCACTGAATGGAATGAAACCAAACATGGCATGAATGTTCCTTTTGAGGTGCTGACCAAGTGTTGTTACTTTGTAGCAAATCCATCAACCAAGATGGCTGCCAACAGGGGACTTAGCTTAACAAAGGACCCTATGGGAAATATATAAAAATGTCTTCTTCTAGAAAACTGCTTAATTTTAGTTTTTTAATAGTTTTCGGTATAAGGACATCATTCGTAAATATAGCTCAACATGCAGACTTCTTATACGTTCAGGTATTTCACATCCAATTTTTTATGGAAATATTCTTTATAAAGCACAAAAATGTCAGTATTCACCTCTGAAGCTAACAAAACCTTTAAATAGACTTATTAAGAAGGGATATAGTTACGATACTGTTGTCAGGTCATTAAAGATTGCATATTTTGGCGTTAATATTGATTCACTTATAGGGTCTTTGCATCGGCACTAACACATTTATTTAAAAACCAGTTGTTGGCATGACACGGGTTATGTTCTTCTCATATATGTTATGATGGTATGATACTAAACCCCTAACGGGAAGGATTGTGCCTGATATTCATATGATGAAGACATAATCTTTCAATCAGTTTAATTGAAGTCTGGAGCTGGCATGTCAGTTAACTGCTAGTAGTCTGTTGTTATTTATGTATTATTGTCATTTTGTTTATTTTCTTTGGTTACATCTTCTGACATCAGACTCGGACTTCTCTTGAACTGAATTTTAATGTGCGTATTGTTATGCGTTTACTTTTCTACATTGGCTAGAGGTATAGGGGGAGGGTTGAGATCTCATAAACATGTTTAACCCCGCCGCATTTTTGCGCCTGTCCCAAGTCAGGAGCCTCTAGCCTTTGTCAGTCTTGTATTATTTTTAATTTTAGTTTCTTGTGTACAATTTGGAGTTTAGTATGGCGTTCATTATCACTGAACTAGTATATATATTTGTTTAGGGGCCAGCTGAAGGACGCCTCCGGGTGCGGGAATTTCTCGTTGCATTGAAGACCTGTTGGTGACCTTCTGCTGTTGTCTGTTCTATGGTCGGGTTGTTGTCTCTTTGACACATTCCCCATTTCCATTCTCAATTTTATTAATGGATTGAAACCAAACATGATATGAATGTTTCTTTTGAGATACTGACCAAGTGTTGTTACTTTGTAGCTGATATGTCATTGTCCTTATACAGTCATTTTCTACAATTTCAATGAATTTATTGGTAATTTCTTTAAACTTTACAAAAGTTTTCTGCTTTTGATTTAATTATGGGACCAATATTAAACCAAATTTGGCCTCAATTATTATTAGGGTATATGTTATGATTTTAATCTACTTTTACATGATTTCCAAAACCAAAGTAGAATCAGGTAAGCGACACAGGCTCTTGGGAGCCTCTAGTTCCTTATTCTGTCCATTTATTCATGTGTGCAATGAATAGTTTTGTCACAAATTTCTCCAATACTACTGATCAGAATGACTGTATATTTAGTTATTTAGTACTGAAAGATATTGTTCATGCCTTACAATTTTTGTATATATTTTCAGACCAGGTGTTTCCAGAATGAGTCAGTTACCATCAGCCCCAATGACACCTTCTTTACCTGGGTTGTTACCATCAGTTGGTCTTAAATGTTTAGTCTTGAAGTTAGTAATACCTTCTGAGATCATTGAAAGGGTAAGTATTCACAACTTTTACTGTTTTTATTAGCTCACCTGGCCCGAAGGGCCAAGTGAACTTTTCTCCTCAATAGGCGTCCGTCGTCGTTGTCCTCGTTGTTAACTTTTTACATTTTGAACTTCCTTTAGAGAACCACTGAATGGAATGAAACCAAACATGGCATGAATGTTCCTTATGAGGTATTGACCAAGTGTAGTTACTCTGTAGCTGATCCATCATCCAAGATGGCTGCCAGCAAGGGACTTCCTTTAACATAGGACCCTAGGGACAATACATACAATTGCCCTCTTTTAGAGAACCACTAAATGGAATGAAACCAAACATGGCATGAATGTTCCTTATGAGGTGCTGATCAAGCGTTGTTACTTTGAAGCCGATCCATCATCCAAGATGGCCGCCAGAGGGGGAATTAGTTTAACATAGGACCCTAAGGCAAATACATACAAATGTCTTCTTTTAGAGAACCAATAAATGGAATGAAATAAAACATGGCATGAATGTTCCTTATGAGGTGCTGACCAAGTGTTGTAACTTTGTAGGCGATCAATCATTCAAGATGACTGCCAGCGGGGGACTTAGTTTAACATGGGACCCTATGGACAATTCATACAAATGTCTTCTTTTAGAGAACCACTGAATGGAATGAAACCAAACAGCATGAATGTTCCTTATGAGGTGCTGACCAAGTGTTGTTACTTTGAAGCCGATCCATCATCCAAGATGGCCGCCAGAGGGGGACTTAGTTTAACATAGGACCCTAAGGGAAATACATACAAATGTCTTCTTTTAGAGAACCACTAAATGGAATGAAATAAAACATGGCATGAATGTTCCTTATGAGGTGCTGACCAAGTGTTGTAACTTTGTAGGCGATCAATCATTCAGGATGGCTGCCATCAGGGGACTTCGTTTAACATAGGACCCTATGGACAATACATCCAAATGTCTTCTTTTAGAGAACCACTGAATGGTATGAAACCAAACATGGCATGAATCAGTGTTCTCCCCAGATATTTTGGATAGCATCACATTTGGCGAAAAAAAATAAACTGTATTTTTTTCAATGTCATTTGTCGCGTTGCGGTGATGCTCTATTTCTATTTTTATGGTATATATGTTTATATTGTTCAATTCATAACTGAGAATACAATTAAAATATAACCATGATAACAGTTGTTTCAGTTTATGTTTTCTATATTCATTTATAGTTATTGTACAGAATTATTGTTTTCCTCTTGGGCCATATAACAATATATGTGTGGTTCTAGGCTTCTAGCAGAGACATATAATACAATATATGTCTCTGGTTCTATTTACCCTACCTACCCAACTAAATGAATGAGTGAATGGTTTATTATAGTGCAACCTTTATATATATACAATACTAAATATCAAGTAAAAAAAGAGAAAGTATCATATAGCAATAAAATTTCAATTAAAAAAAAATTTTCATGTCTAAAAATTCATTGTTTCATGCTGAGACTACTATAACACTGTGTTATAGTAGTCTCAGTTTCATGGTACCAGAGACATATATACACATGTGTATATATGTCTCTGATGGTACTCAATGAATTAGTCCCAGTTCTTTCTTTATATCAAGGTGATAGATATTTTTAACAAAGTTATCTAACAAATAGTCTGTTAATGCATAGTTTTCTCTTTTTGGTATATTTTTTCTGTCTGCTGTGCCATTTGTGCATCTGTAGTTATTATTGTAAAAATGCGGATTTTTGTCATATCCGGTCCGGTTCCGATCGGTAGTTTACACAAAAGTAGTCAATGGCGGCCGAAGAAAAATTAACGAAAATAAACAATGTTTGACAAGAGATTGGGAACGAATGTGACGCTTTTGATGTATTAAATGGATGAAACATAAACTTAAGCCAACTTATTTAGCCCAAAACCGATATGTTCGCTCTCGATTAACAAGTAGTACCGGCGGAAGAGAAAAAGTAATTTTATGAAAGTTGTAAAAATAAACGACCAAACCTCATTTTTAAAGAGAAAAATCGTTCGTATCTTTGAATTTCCGTAATGCAAAAGGTAGATTTCGAATTGTTGTATGATTACATTTTTTCCATGTCTTAATTTGCGATTGCAGACAGACCACGTGGTATTAATCATGTCACAAGTGTCAGCTTGGGGTATTCGTATCCAAACAGTTATCACCCAAAGGGCAATTAACACCTATTTAATCACTCTTAAATGCCTCAATTGTCCGATTTGAAGGGATTACACTTAAAGGTGATATAATTTTTATGATCATAGGCGGTAATTAGATGAAAGTTCAAAATTTAGGACATGGATTTACGATATAGAAACAAGAAAAATAGCATCCTCAAAATAATTATAGCGTCGCGGAAATTATTATAGCATCACGGGAAAAAATATAGCGTCGCGGTACCGCGACGCTAAAACGGCCTGGGGAGAACACTGATGAATGTTCCTTATGAGATGCTGACCAAGTGTTGTTACTTTGAAGCCTATCCATCATCCAAGATGGCCGCCATAGAGGGACGCTAAAACGGCCTGGGGAGAAAACACTGATGAATGTTCCTTATGAGGTGCTGACCAAGTGTTGTTACTTTGAAGCCTATCCATCATCCAAGATGGCCGCCATAGAGGGACTTAGTTTAACATAGGACCCTATGGGAAATATATACAAATGTCTTCTTTTAGAGAACCACTGAATGGAATGAAACCAAACATGGCATGAATGTTCCTTATGAGGTGCTGACCAAGTGTTGATACTTTGTAGCAAATCCATCAACCATGATGGCTGCCAATGGGGGACTTAGTTTAACAAAGACCCTATGGGAAATATATAGAAATGTCTTCATCTAGAAAACTGCTTAATGGATTGAAACCAAACATGGTATGCATGTTTCTTTTGAGGTGCTGACCAAGTGTTGCTACTTTGTAGCTGATTTGTCATTGTCCTTATAAAGTCATTTATTACAATTTCAATGAATTTATTGGTAATTTCTGTAAACTTTACAAAAGTCTTCTGCTTTTGATTAAATTACTAGGCCAATATTAAACCAAATTTGGCCTCAATCATTATTAAGGTATCTGTTATGATTTTAATCTATTTTTACATGATTTCCAAAACCAAAATATAATCAGGTGAGCGACACAGGCTCTTGGGAGCCTCTAGTTGTTTTTATTATTTTTATTTACCAATTTTTTTATTACCAGTTTTCTCCCTGTATTTGTGTCTGATAGAATAATGTCTCCAGTAAGTGACATGTCTTCTTGCAGACTTTTATCTTCTGAACTAGCATGTTAAAAATCTGACTCAGCGTGTTGGTCATGTACAAAGCAGTGTTTGTATTCATATCACATTAACATGTTCTCGTCCTAAATATATATTTAATTTACCACTGGACATTAAACAGCCATCCATCATCAAAACATTAGGGGAGTGAGCATTGACTGCTTATTTGTTCTGACTGGTCTCCTAAAGATGTAACAAGAAGTTATTTACACAAAAGCTTATTCCATCTAAGGGCTGTTCCAATAAAACATTCATTGGACCCAGGCAAGGCAACTTGAATTTGAAACTACGGTTTGGTGTGAGATATTATGCTGTACAAGTTTAAAATATATGCAGGTCAACAAAATTGCTTCTATGGGTGGTAACTCAGTTTTCTATTACCTTTCCTGGGTACCATGTATGTTTTATTGGACCAGTCCTTAACATAGTTTCTTACAGATGATCATATTTTCCTGAATTCCTCATGAGCACTAGTGGTTTCAACATCTTTTATCTTTTGAACCAGCTCTTAATGAAATCTGAAAATACAATGCAGAATTTGCTGTTTCGGAATCTAATGCATTCTGGGTAATATTTTCACAAGCGTATACCGAAATGTTTTCATTGAATGACAAGGTCCTAAACAATGGAAATTCATTCAATGTCGTGACATTGTTTTCATTTTGGGGTACGAACAATGAAGTAACCCCATAGTCCTTTAAATTCTGAAATGTCGAATTGACCAGCTGCAAGAAAGAAAGTTATTTATACCAATGATTTGGGATGAAGTGGATAAAAAAATGAGAATTTTTATATTTGAAGGAAATTTGTTTTCTTTACAGATTTTTGTACTTATATCAGATTACTTTCCATTTTTTGCCAGCAACATCAACCTAAACAATATTGTATTAAGATTTTACAATTATGTCTAATTTTTCTCAAGCTTTATGTGATTTTCTGCAGGAGCCATGGGTTGCTAATATTGATGCCAAATATTTGAAATTAAATGTTACTGCCTACTTTGGAAGTGTTCGTCTACGTACCAGAATGTCACTTAAAGATGCCATTGCATTGGACATAGAAAAGGATAATTATGGCAACACTGTTTATGAGATTTACTATCTTGATGAAAAATTCCTGTTTGAAAATTTAGACATTGCAGAATATGATGTTGAAAAGGAACTTGGTGCTAACCCATATTGTATGTTAAAAGTTGAATATACAAAACCTGGAACATTTGCACAAAGTAAGTTCTGTATATTTATGTCAATTGGTCTCTGGTGGATAGGTGTCTCATTGGCAATCATACCACATCTTATTTTTATAATGATTTTGCGGAACTGTTAAAAAGCATTCTTGTCAAATTTATGGTTATACTTTAAGCAAAAACTAACGCTTAAAGCTGGTGAATTAGAGATTTCACGTGTGAAAAACAGTTTTGTCTGTAGTGTTAATGATGCAAATGTGGATGTAGAAAGTGTTGAAAAAAACATTGAAATATTTTGGATCATATTTCGTATTTTAAGGAAAGATGAGTTAGAAATATTTTTTTCAATCTGGTATTGAATATGCTTAGTGTATTATCAAAAATTGCTCTAGGTAAAACAGATGTAAACATATTTTTAAAAAGATCTCAGGGTTATGATAATTTCAAAGCCTTCAGTACACTTTTGATCAAATGCATGTATCAACCAGGACATTTTTGTAATGGGTGCTTACTTTATAAATTGAAATTTCTGCATATTCCCTGTTTTAATATTTATTTTATTAGAAAGTAAAAAATGTATGATGATAGTTAAATCAGCGTTTTCCAATTGTATGATGTACAATTAACCTTTTCCTAAGAATTTGATTCAGAATTCTCAATAACATGATATCTCTTTAGTTTAACTTTGCTTATTAATTTCCAAATATGCCTTATTTCCTGAAGAACCCAGGTTAACTCCACCTTATGCAGATAATGGTAAACAAAGAGGTATAACATATCACATTCCATACTATATTTATGCTTGGGGAAAACCATATATCCATGGTGGGACTACATGTAGCTTATATTTTGTGCTTACATGCATGTTTAATGTAATAGTGTGGTTTTAATTAATTTTCATTCTTTACTTGGTTTCAATTTAATACTTTAAAATATATTTGATATACATGTAATGTTTGCTAATTATTTATCCTGTGTTACTAAATGATAAAATAGATGGTGATTTAGACAAGAAGAACTATAGATGAAAGAAAGTAAAAACATTTTGATGTTGGTTTAGGATATAAAATCTGATTCTTTAAACATAAAGTTGAACGAGGAAATGAAATTTAAAACAGAAAATGTAAACAATGTGACGATTAATTAAACTATTTCTTTATATTTCTTGAATAAGTCAAGGTTACAAACTGTCTTGATCCAGTCTATAACTCTGAACGTACCTGCCAACTTTCCCACTTTATGGCGGATATCCCCAATGAGAGGTGTTGACCTGACCTTTATAATACTCCATTATTTAGACTAAATACTTAAAAAAAGCATTCAGAGGAGAACAAAATTACATTTGAACACATGTTTACTCATTCAAAACCATACATGTAGATGTTCTAATTAAGTACATGAATGACATGTGTATGTCATTAGGTCCTCTTGTGCTTAAAATCAGAGATTTTGACAAGTTGGCAGGTCCGGAATTACCACCAATATAAATACAATACATCCTTGAAATGTTTGTGTATTTTACTAATTTTCTTGTTTATTTATCAAATGAACTGTATTTCTTATTCATGTATTTTATAATTGTATAGCTATTATTATATATGCAAATTGCATATAGCCTGTTAACAAATATATTCCTAGCTTTGTTGTTGTCTTTTTATGCTGCATTGTGCAAAGTCAGTGGTCTGTGTATATAGCAGCCATGTATTCTTGTTATTGTATACAAAATTCTATTATACATATATATTATACATGCTATTATAAGTAAAAAGCACTGATATATAAAAGTAGAGAATATCAATACACTTAACTTTGTGTGCTACTGTGAAAGTATAACTGTTCATGGGATACCAATTTTCCTGAACTTTTAGTTCCGATGAAGTAGGAAATTTTGTACCCTACGGAATGCTTATTTTCTATTCATTACGAAGGTGTTCATCTTAAAACAAGGAAGTCAAAACCGTTCAAACCAACAATAATTTCACAAACCACAAAAATATTAATGATGAAAGGCACTTCCCCAGAATGCTTAAAAAGTTATCAATGCCCTTGTTTACTGTCTAGTTTCAAAAAAGGGGGGTGGGGGGGGGGGGGGGGGGGAAGAGACAAAGACTACATTAAAAACTTATAAGTCTAAGAAAAACTGCCAACGCCATGACAAGAACAAAAAACACACGAAAAGAGAAACAAGACCACAAGTGCCCCTGTAGGGTTAGCAGATTCTGTGACGCCCAATTGTGTTACTTTTAAAAATATGAGAACAGATTTTTCAAATGTCAGATTTTTCAAATGTTTATCGTTTTAATGATTGATTATTGACTGTCATATTCCTTACTTGATACAGACATGATCAGTCAGAAATTACTATGTTTCTAAGCTTCTTATACTTTTGATTTTGATTCCTACCCATTTAATATAATTTAAATTTAAGCAAACTGCTGAAATTAAGAAATCAGATCAGGCCTATTTCCATTATACATGATATGACGTGTTTGACATATTGAAGGTATTTCAATTATAATTGAAAATATGTATTTTCCCTGAGTTTTGAACTTACATAATAATGTAAAACAAAATGTGGGGGAGGAGCTAAAGTAAATACTTACTCCTACCATGTAATTCTAAAATAATTCTCAGATGAAACAACCTTTGCTAGGTTTTAAAGGTAACAGGTAAAAAAATAACTTTAATCAGTAGTTCTTAAAGGATTTAACTATGCAGTAACAAATCACTTTCTTTAATATAGGATCAGCCCTCCCAGTAGGTTGGGCGAGAGTGCATTTGTTCCAGCGTGATGCTCATAATCCAAGAGGAGGCAGAGATTCTATAGATTCTATAGACATTCACTGGTTACTACAGAATGGAGATTTTAAGTTGACACTACATCCTGGAGATGTTCCAGAAGTTTCAACACATCCATCTTCTCCTACGGTACCTGTAAATACTGAAGGTAGGAGAAAATATAGTAAAGTTGTTGTTTATTTATTGCTTCTAAATACATCCATCTCCTCAAAGAGACTCTGTCTCGCCTTGACGGAGTCAAAAAGCGAGACATAGGTATGCTGTTTCCGGCATGGGTGGCGGCGGCTACAGCAGCTTCAACAGTGTATTAGTTTGTGATTAGGTCTAGTTCATGCTGAACCACTAGTGGTAGGTCAATGATATTTGGTATGCAGTTGTATTAGCATTGGCACATCTCATTACCATAGAGATTATTTGGCCCCGCCCCCTCAGTCAAGGTCTATTGCCTTTGAAACTTTTCATAGCTTACATGTATTAGTTTGTGATTAGGTCAACTTATGGGGAACCACTAGTGGTAGGTCAATGGTATTTGGTATGCAGTTGTATAAGCATTGGCATATCTCATTTCTTTGGAGATTATTTGACTCCACCCCCTTAGGCATGGTCTATAGACTTTGATAATTTTGCTAAGTTAACATGTATTAGTTTGTGATTAGGTCAGTTCAAGGGGAACCATTAGTGGTAGGCCAATGTTAATTGGTGTTCAGTTGTATAAGCATTAGCACATCTCATTTACATTGAGAATATTTGGCCCAGCCCCCTCAGTCATGGTCTATTTACTTTGAAACTTTTGCTTAGTTTACATGTATTAGTTTGTGATTAGATCAGTTTAAGATGAACTGCTAATGTTAAGTCAATGATATTTGGTATGCAAATTTCTTGGCATTTGCAAGTATTGTTTCCATGGAGATTATATAGCCCCACCCCTGATCATGGTTCATTGACTTTGAAACTTTTACATAGTTTACAAGTTAATGTTTGTGTTTAGGTTTGTTTAAAGGGAACGACTTATAATAAGTCAATGGTATTTGGTATGCAGTTGTATTAGCATTGGCACATCTCATTCCATGGAGATTGTTTAGCCATGTACCTTCAGTCATGGTTCATCGACTTTGAATATTTGCATAACTTACATGTTAAAGTATTGCTATTTTAATTTCAACATTTGCATTATCAAAATTACAAAAAGGCGAGACATATCTCTGTGATAACAGTTTATTGTCAATAAAAAAGGTATGAGAGAAATATGGTACACGAAAAATTCAGAAATTAAAAGTAAAGTGTTTATTAACAGTTTATTTAAAAAAGAAAAGCTTATTTTATCTTAAAATTTTGCCTTGTAAATAATTCATTTGTATTTAATATCTATTTGCAGATGCCATCCTTGGATATCATTCTGAGCTGTTGGTTATGGTTTATGACCCAAGAGAGGAACCACCTGACAGGGCACGCCCACCAGGCCTTCCTGCTGCAATGCCTTTACAGGTCCCACCTGCTGATACAAGACATAGCCCAACCTACAGTCCCAAACCTAGTCCGAGACCACAACCCAAAAAGGGAAGTCCACATCCACAGCCTAGAACCAAAGAAAGTCCTAAACCTAAACCAAGGTTTGTATTTCAATGTCAGGGAATTATATTTTTCTTTCTTTCATATGCTGAACATCACAACAATGGGAAACATGCAGAATGTATCATGCTTGTGAAAGATGTTCAAAATTTCAATATAAACCCATGAAAGAACCTGTTGATATAACTACATACATCAGTTGAAAATTGATAATCAGCGTTCACTAAGCTCCAAGGTAAATAGTTTGTTGTTTAAAAAGAAATTACTACTATTTTATAGTATGGTATGCATTATTCTTTTACTTTAAATGAAATGACACTATTATTATTATAAATTCAGAAGTTGATATTATGTTTTTATTATTGCGAAAATTGTGACTGGATAGACATCTAAAAAAAAAACTTGAATTTTAAATTTTGGTAGCTTCTCTGTATGCAGCATTTTCTGATCTTACATCTGTGTCCATATTTCAATAATCACAATAATAAAATGTATGCACAAATTTCTGATTTTATTGTACTTTGGCTAATGTTAATGGTTTGATCTGCTGTAGTCATAATCTTCATAGTAACAGATATCATGACCTTGGAAAAGATTCCAAAAATGTTATTGACATGTCTTTTATTGCAGGGATAAACCAAGGATAAGGTTTCAGGATGATGATAGTCCATGGGTAGAATATAAACCTGATGTAGCTAATGAAAGGAATGAAACACCCACAGCTAAAAACCAGGCATTTGATCTTTATATTGATGGTGTTAGATTTATTACTGATAATTCATCCATTGTGAAGGTAAAAAAACAAGATTTTTTATCTCAACATTAATGACTCCTTAATCAGTAACTTTATGTATGTAGTTGGGTACATTTTGCCATTGAAGTCCTTAGAAAAAGTTTTGAATTTGGAGTTTTCAACGTATCATCTGTGACTCTTACCATTTTCTGGGGGATGTTTGCGATATTTTCTGGTGGATGTTTGCGGTATGTCAAATGCAGAACTGTTCCCAGGATGTTTGCATTATACTTTCTTCACGTTAATTTGAGGGAATTTCAAATTTTCATATATCTTTCGTAAAAGGAACTAAAATTAAATAAAATGCTTCGCTGGGCGCAGCTTGATACGACCGCAGAGGTCGAACCCTGAACAGTTGGGGCAAGTATGGACACAACATTCAAGCTTGATACAGCTCTGAATTTGGATTGTGATTAAATATTTGACACAGCATAGGTTTCTGACACAGAAAGAATGTGGTCTAAGAACTTCAATTTTTTTAATTTACCTATTATGGTCCAATGTCCAAAATCAAAATACATGGTTAGATTCAGCATATCAAAGAACCCCATATATTCAATTTTTGTTGAAATCAAACAAAGTTTAATTTTGGACCCCAACTTGGACAAACTTGAAAACTGGTCCCATAATCAAAAATCTAAACACATGTTTAGATTCAGCATATCAAAGTACCCGAAGAATTCAATTTTTGTTAAAATCAAACTAAGTTTAATTTTGGACCCTTTGGACCTTAATGTAGACAAATTTAAAAAACGGGACCCAAAATTAAAAATCTAAAAACACGGTTAGATTTGGCATATCAAAGAACCCCAATTATTCAATTTTTGATGAAATCAAACAAAGTTTAATTTTGGACCCTTTTGACCTCAATATGAACCAATTTGATAGCGGGCCCACAAATAAAAAATCTAAATACATGGTAAGATTCAGCATATCAAAGAACCCCATATATTCAATTTTTGTTGAAATCAAACAAAGTTTAATTTTGGACCCCAATTTGGACCAACTTGAAAACTGGGCCAAAAATCTAAAATCTAAATACATGTTTAGATTCAGCATATCAAAGAACCCCATATATTCAATTTTTGTTGAAATCAAACAAAGTTTAATTTTGGACCCCAACTTGGACCAACTTGAAAACTGGTCCCATAATTAAAAATCTAAACACATGTTTAGATTCAGCATATCAAAGAACCCCAAAAATTCAATTTTTGTTAAAATCAAACTAAGTTTAATTTTGGACCCTTTGGACCTTAATGTAGACCAATTTAAAAAACAGGACCCAAAATTAAAAATCTAAATACACAGTTAGATTTGGCATATCAAAGAACCCCAATAATTCAATTTTTTATGAAATCAAACAAAGTTTAATTTTGGACCCTTTTGACCTCAATATGAACCAATTTGATAGCAGGCCCACAAATAAAAAATCTAAATACATGGTAAGATTCAGCATATCAAAGAACCCCATATATTCAATTTTTGTTGAAATCAAACAAAGTTTAATTTTGGACCCCAATTTGGACCAACTTGAAAACTGGGCCAAAAATCTAAAATCTAAATACATGTTTAGATTTTGCATATCAAATAACCCCATATATTCAATTTTTGTTGAAATCAAACAAAGTTTAATTTTGGACCCCAACTTGGACCAACTTGAAAACTGGGCCCATAATCAAAAATCTAAACACATGTTTAGATTCAGCATATCAAAGAACCCCAAGAATTCAATTTTTGTTAAAATCAAATTAAGTTTAATTTTGGACCCTTTGGACCTTAATGTAGACCAATTTAAAAAACGGGACCCCAAATTAAAAATCTAAATACACGGTTAGATTCGGCATATCAAAGAACCCCAATAATTCAATTTTTGATGAAATCAAACAAAGTTAAATTTTGGACCCTTTGGACCTCAATGTGGACCAATTTAAAAACGGGGCCCAAAATCCAAAAACTTAATACACAGTTAGATTCAGCATATTAAAGAACCCCAAGAATTCAAGAATAAAACCCCATTGAAATTGATCAAGAAATAAGCAATTTATACGAAGTATCTTCTTTTGCACAACACTGTGCAATTGAATATTTCTTGCTATTGCGCAATACTGTACAATTGACAATTTCTTGCTATTGCGCAATATTGTGCTATTGGATATTTCTTGCTATTGCGCAATACTGTGCAATTGAAGATTTCTTGCTATTGCGCAATACTGTGCAATTGAAGATTTCTTGCTATTGTGCAATACTGTGCAATTGAAAATTTCTTGCTATTGCACAATACTTATTATATAATAATTTACACATCCTGTTTGGTGTGTATCTCCTACCATATCATTATTATTTGCTTTTAAATATAAATCAGAAATAATCAACTTAAAATGGAAAATTTTAAAAGAAAAAAAAAAGGAAAAAAAGAAAAAAAAAAAAAAAAAAATCTCCCCCCCCAAATTTTTTGAACCCCCTTATGATTCATCACCCCCAAACTCAATCCCAGCCTTCCCTTTGTGGTATGGTACCTTGCAGTACAATTTCAGAGAGATCCATACACTTGAACACAAGTTATTGTCTGGAAACTAGAAAAATGCTTATTTTTGGCCCCTTTTTGGCCCCCAATTCCTAAACGTTTCGGGCAATTACCCCCAAACTCAATTCCAGCTTTCCCTTTGTGATATGGAACCTTGTAGTACAATTTCAGAAATATCCAAACACTTACACACAAGTTATTGTCATGAAACTAGAAAAATGCTTGTTTTTTGCCCCTTTTTTGGCCCCTAATTCCTAAAATTTTGAGGCAATTACCCCCAAAATCAATTACAGCCTTCCCTTTGTGATATGGAACCTTGTGGTACAATGTCAGAGAGATCTATACACTTACACACAAGTTATTGTCTGAAAATTACAAAAATGCTTATTTTTGGCCCCTTTTTGGCCCCTAATTCCTTAACTGTTGGTACCATAACCCCCAAAATCAATCCCAACCTTCCTTTCGTGGTATTGAACCTTATGGTGAAATTTCATGGAGATCCATTCACTTAAACTAAAGTTAGAGTGCGAAAACCAATGTGTCTTCGGACGACGCCAGACGACGCCGGACGACGACGACGACGACGACGACAACGACGACGACGACGACGACGACGCCAACGTCATACCAATATACGACCAAAAAATTTTTAATTTTTGCGGTCGTATAAAAACTATTTGACTTTTATTATGCACCATACACAATACACCATACACCATTTTATTGGAAAGTTTACACCATTCAAGGGCTGTATTGATATTAATTATTTTAAAGAGTTTTTTGTTCTTGTATTTTTCAGGTGACAGGAATAATTGGAGCACCAGATGACACCAAGATGTTACTGACCATACCAGATCTGGACAAGTCAGCTAGATGTCCTGTATTCCAGTTCAAACTCACATTTAATGAGCAAGGGAAAGAATTGGATGATGATGTAGTGGCTTTCCTAAGAGTTTATACCTGGGATGTCATCAAAGAGGAGATAACAGTCATTGGTAGCTGTTTTGTACCAATATTTGACAAAGACAACGTAAGAGTAATTATTAAAATATGAAAATCTAAACCCCCTGCGTGGAATTACATTTAAACTATATGAAACAGATAATTCTTATTTTAATGAAGGAAATTTGGACTTGTAAAATAGTTTCTTTTCTGTTTTTTTTATGAACACAGGAAGAATGCCTGTAGAAAATTTTAAAATGTGTGAAATGTATAAAGCTGTTATGCTTAAACTTCTCCATTGTTACATAAATGTACTGGACCTTTCATGATTAACTTTTATCATGAAATCTTGAAAATAAACCCGTAGTAAAAATTGTAAACTTAACAGTTATAGGATTTAAAACTGCGTAAAAGTTTTGATAAGAGTTTGTTAAACTGACAAAATTTATATGGAGTAGTTTAGCAACTTTGACTTCCCATAAGGTTTTAGAATAGAGTTTTGAAAAACAAAGATTTTAGTATAAATGCTGTGTTTGAGGTCAAGTTAATGTTTGTACCTATTTTATGCCATATACATATAGGATTTACTAAGTAAAAAGAATTGTGCTAATATATTTGCAGGGTTATCAATTAAATGTAGGTGGTCATCAGTTACGACTGCATAATGGTGTTCCTCCACAGAAACCTAAATACCATGCTACAGACTTAGATAATATACCAGTTGTGCCAGGGGCTTCCATTCTTGTACGAGTTCTACCATCGAAAGCGGTAAGTTTATTGATTTCATTGCAGGTATTAAACATTTTAATGCCCCTGCCGCAGCCCCTGTATGTAAAAATGCATGAAAACTATTATTTAACAGAATAATATTTTAGATGTAACACTACAAATTTTACACAATCGAGTTGAAATGGAATGTTAGATTTCGTGCCCCGAGTTTCTTCCTACCTGTAGTCCCTGCAATAAATAGTTGAATGGTGCTTTGGGGGCCAATTCACACAGGAAAATTTCTGCTCCTATCCATCATGTATACCTTTTTGTTCTGTGTCAGTCCAAATTTTTATGGATCAAGAGAACATATCTTTCTATGGATACTGGATTTCACGGTTTTGCCAAATGTCTGCATACAAGCTTATACAAAAAGTGATTAACTTATATTCCTGAAATCCACAAAAAATTGGTATCTTGTGAATAATACATTAACAATATGCATGAACTATTTTATTTTTATCTCATAGGCTGATCAACCAGCTCCTAGCTATGGTATAGGATATTATAAGTCTGAGCCGTGTAGACCTACAGCATCAGAGAAAAGAATATTTAGTAGCTATAAGGAACATATGATGTATCCAAAGACTGTCAGAGATATGATACAGAGGCTACAACAGGCTGAAGGACAACCAATAGGTAAGAAAAATTGATAATTGGTAGACAAAAAAAAATCATGACTGAATAAAAATTCATATCAAGGAACCACCTTTTTTTTCTTGTGATAGTGTGATTGCCTTGAATAATCTAGTGGTCCATTGGTTGCCATATTGCAGAAGAAAATTATTACTCCTATGCAGCATAAATTTTATTAAAATTGTTGAATGTACAAAGTTCAAAATTATCTAACAGGGATTATGAACATTTTATTTCAGGCCAGAATGATGAAGAACTACTAGGTTGGCTTCAGGATAAACTAGATGTTAAGAAATATGGTTCCAATGTTGCTGCTGGTAACCTGCCACTGGACAAAGCAATACGATACAGGGTCAAGATGGGCATTAATGTTAAAATCCAGCAGGCTCATAATCTACAAGGTATACAGGCAAAGTAATACGATACAGGGTCAAGATAGGCATTAATGTTAAAATCCAACAGGCTCATAACCTACCAGGTATACAGGCAAAGTAATACGATAGAGGGTCAAGGTGGGCATTAATGTTAAAATCCAACAGGCTCATAACCTACCAGGTATACAGGCAAAGTAATATGAAAGAGGGTCAAGGTGGGCATTAATGTTAAAATCCAACAAGCTCATAATCTATCAGGTATACAGGCAAAGTAATATGATACAGGGTCAAGATGGGCATTAATGTTAAAATCCCACAGGCTCATAACCTACCAGGTATACAGGCAAAGTAATACGATAGAGGGTCAAGGTGGGCATTAATGTTAAAATCCAACAGGCTCATAATCTACCAGGTATACAGGCAAAGTAGGGTCAAGATGGGCATTAATGTTAAAATCCAACAGGCTCATAATCTACAAGGTATACAGGCAAAGTAATACGATAGAGGGTCAAGATGGGCATTAATGTTAAAATCCAACAGGCTCATAACCTACCAGGTATACAGGCAAAGTAATACGATAGAGGGTCAAGATGGGCATTAATGTTAAAATCCAACAAGCTCATAATCTACCAGGTATACAGGCAAAGTAATACGATACAGGGTCAAGATGGGCATTAATGTTAAAATCCAACAGGCTCATAATCTACCAGGTATACAGGTAAAGTAATGAAAAAACAGTCATAGAGGAAATTAAACAGACCCAGTAAACTAATGGTAAAATCAAAAATTACTTATAATCCACCAGAAATACAAATGTCATTTGTCCAATGAAAGGAGTGAGGGAAAAACAGTCACAATACATAAATCCATAAGACATCTAGAGGTCAACATAGTGTCTTCAACAATAGTGTCTTAATTCATGTCAAGCACTAAATTGGCCCTGGTCTAGGAAAGTTGTGTTTAAATTAAATGAGGACTGAAAAAGCTCTGTTATAAAAACCCCTAATCCCTAAATTACAAAACTTTGAGGATATAAAGACATGAGTGTTCATGATTTATATGAAGGTCATGGGATATGATTACAGATAACATGTATAGGATATGAAATAAATGTTTGTAAGCCTGCATTAATTGAAACAGCGTTTTTAAGTTTTTAAGAGTGCCATCAGTCATAACTCTTTTTCAAACCTTATAAGAAACAGTTAGATTAAGACTTAAAACTTATATGAGGTTTCCTCATAATTATTTACTGGTATTTTAATAGAAGTTTTTATTGCTTTTATTTCAGTCAGAATTAGATTTTAATGTTGTCACATACTTTTGAGACTCACTGACTCATACAAGATTTTTAAGACTCAAGTTTTGAAAATGCTTTATAACTTATCATTTCAGAGGGAATTTACCTTCAGTGTTTTGCCAGGGTACAGCCTGGAGAGAAGGTAGTATCCATGCCTCCTACAGAGGACGGCCATGGAGAGGAAGAGAAATTCATTACACTAAAACTAGACTTTGAAAGTTTTCAGAAATCTCCTGTTTGGACAGATGATTTCACAGTAAGTTTTAAAGTTTTAGATATGAATATAAAGTTATTAGAAAAGATAACCACTGACAAGGTTCATTGAATGGGATGTGGACATGAAAATGTGTCAGATTTAAACTAGTCTTTTGATAGCTAAATGGCTGAATGGCTGCCTAGGAGGACAGGGATACACAATTTGAAAATAAATCATATAAAATCCATTGTTTTTTCCAGCATTGGTATGGCTCTCATCATAAATGAAAACTTCTTTTGAAAAGCTTTTATTTCTGAGATGTCCAAGATTGAAACTCAATCAGTGTTAATTGACATATTGATCGATCCTTTTCATATATCATTGTTTATATTGCAGAATCTTCATCCATTTTATGATGAGAATTCAGTATTATTGATACAACTGTATGGATTAGATGTAAAATATACAAGCAGAATAGAGCATGATGGTCCTGGTAAATTAAGGACCAGTAAAGACCAGGAATTATCATTGGGCAATGAGCAGATAATAGGTTGGACTGTTGTACCATTGTTTGAAGGGTAAAATCTTTTGATGTGTTATTTGTATACTGTACATGTGAATTCATCATTATTCCTTGGGTACAAATTTTTTCTTGGATTTTGTGGGTAAAGACAAACCACCAATTTAAACTTTCAACTAATTATAGATTTCCTATAGGCTTGTTTGCAAATTTTATCAAAAACCACTAAATCCTGTATCCACAAAAATGAAATTAAAATAAAAGAAGTAATAATGAATCCACAGTTGTTTGTTAGATATTTATGTCATTATAATGGAGAAAAAGGGATTGGTTGTATTTATTCATAACTCAATCCTAACATGTACTTGACAAAGCAAAAGTAAATGATCAGCACTTTTATTGCTGTTCTTCTTCGTAAAATCTTAATGAAGCCTTAAACATGGAGCAAAGGCTCATATAAATTTAAGAAGATTTGGTATAATTGCCAATGAGAGAACTCTCCACCAGAGACCAAATAATGTAGAAGTTAACAACTATAGGTCAACGTACGGACAAAACACATGCCGCATAGTAAGCTTTATAAGGCTCTGAAATGACAAATGTAAAATAATTCAAACCAGAAAACTAATGGCCTGATTTAAATACAAAATAATTAAAGAAAAACATATATGATATACAGCAACAAACGACAACCACTAAACTACATGCTCCTGACTTGAAACAAGCACAAACAGAGTGTGGCTGGGTTAAACATGTTTGCTGCACTCGTACTTCACTGCAAATTGGAGAACACTGTAGCAACATTTTGTGGAGAACTCTATGCTTTGACGATGCTTATATGTGCATTGAAGCACACAGAGACAGGGTAATATAAAAAAAAATTCCAGACTTTAACAGGCAAAATAATCTACAAATACTGCTCTGATTTGCCCAGCAATGTCATTGCAAAATGCAAAAATTATACAAATATTAGACAATCACTGCAGAAAGACAGACAGACAAAGAGTCAAAGACAAACAAATTATCTATACATGTATTACCAGTTTTTTTTTTTATTGTGTTCAATTATGATTAAAAACAAGCTTGTTTCTTGATACATCATAATTTGCTGTAATGGTTCATTATGATTAAAAATAAGGCTTTTTCTTATGATACATCATAATTTGCTGGTGTGTACATATTTTCTTTATTCCCTTTGTATGCATGTTAAACAAATTATTATAACATTCATTTTTCATATAGACATTGTATTATTTTGATAGTCTAGGATCAATAAAAATTGTGTTTCTCGTTGATACAGAAACTCTGTAATGTCAGGAACCCATGAGTTACCAATCTTTAAAGGCCAGTACCCAGAAGGGATGTTAGAAGATCTGACTAATTTTCCTGTCAATGAAGTTTTTAGAAGATGGAAGTGGGATAAAGGTGCCAGACTGGTATGTTAAATTTTTTTTTTGATGGGCAATTTTTGGAAAATTGCCAACCTTTTTATACGACCGCAAAAAAATTTTTGTGGTCGTATATTGGTATGACGTTGGCGTCGTCGTCCGAAGACACATTGGTTTTCGCACTCTAACTTTAGTTTAAGTGAATGGATCTCTATGAAATTTTACCACAAGGTTCAATACCACAAAAGAAAGGTTGGGATTGATTTTGGGGGTTATGGTACCAACAGTAAAGGAATTAGGGGCCAAAAGGGGCCAAAAATAAGCATTTTTGTAACTTCCAGACATAACTTGTGTGTTAGTGTATGGATCTCTCTGACATTGTACCACAAGGTTCCATATCACAAAGGGAAAGCTGGGATTGATGATGGGGGTAATTGCCTCAATATTTTAGGAATTAGGGGCCAAAAAGGGGCAAAAAACAAGCATTTTTCTAGTTTCAGGACAATAACTTGTGTGTAAGTGTACGGATCTTTCTGAAATTGTACTACAAGGTTCCATATCACAAAGGGAAAGCTTGGTTTGAGTTTGGGGGTAATTGCCCTAAACGTTTAGGAATTTGGGGCCAAAAAGGGGCCAAAAAACACATTTTTCTAGTTTCCAGACAATAACTTGTGTTCAAGTGTATGGATCTCTCTGAAATTGTACTGCAAGCTACCATACCACAAAGGGAAGGCTGGGATTGAGTTTGGGGGTAATGAATCATAAGGGGGTTCAAAAAATTGGGGGGGGGGATTTTTTTTTTTTCCTTTTTTTTCTTTTTTTCCTTTTTTTTTTCTTTTAAAATTTTCCATTTTAAGTTGGTTATTTCTGATTTATATTTAAAAGCAAATAATAATGATATGGTAGGAGATACACACCAAACAGGATGTGTAAATTTTTATATAATAAGTATTGTGCAATAGCAAGAAATTTTCAATTGCACAGTATTGCACAATAGCAAGAAATCTTGAATTGCACAGTATTGCGCAATAGCAAGAAATCTTCAATTGCACAGTATTGCACAATAGCAAGAAATATCCAATAGCACAATATTGCGCAATAGCAAGAAATTGTCAATTGTACAGTATTGCGCAATAGCAAGAAATATTCAATTGCACAGTATTGTGCAAAAGAAGATACTTCGTATAAATTACTTATTTCTTGACCAAGTTCAATGGGGTTTTATTCTTGAATTCTTGGGGTTCTTTAATATGCTGAATCTAACCGTGTATTAAGTTTTTGGATTTTGGGCCCCGTTTTTAGATTGGTCCACATTGAGGTCCAAAGGGTCCAAAATTAAACTTTGTTTGAATTCATCAAAAATTGAATTATTGGGGTTCTTTCAGGGCTTCCAAAAGGGTCATATATTCCGGACTTGACCGAAACTTTCATAAAAAGACCGGCTGCTCTCAGCCTCAAACGGTCAAATAGAATTGGTGTGCCACATTTTGTTATTCAAGGCATTTTCATGAAACGGTCATTTCAATTTTTACCAACTATCGATCGATAAAAATGTCCGTTTGGGCATTTTAGTTTATAATTGTGGCAATCTATTTCACAAAGATATTTCGGCCATAATTGGGTTTAATAAAACAGAAGCAGCATATTTCAGATACTTTGAAGTGTCTCAGTTAGTCTAATCCTCTGGGTACATAAATGTACGGCTTGGTCTTTAGCTTGTGTACATCAATAAAAAGTAGAAAAAACACGTTTTCTTTTATTTAAATAACAACAAGCTGTCAAACAATTATCCCTTCAATAAGTTATATTGAAGCCATAAATCATTCACTGATTACAGGTTTGTTACCTTTGATGAGGTGTCCTTAGCTTGTCTTTATCAATAGAATTAATGATGCATAACAATGTACATAAAGGTAATCAGGTAAACGAGGTCAAACATGTAAGCGTGTATGGAACAACATCCTATTTAATTACGCTTTATAGATATTATTTTAAATGAGCATTCAGTTTAAAAAAGTATCCTGATATTTAAAAGTTATTCTTCAAATAAGGATAATTGTAAATGAATAAGTATGATATATATTATTTTATTTAACACTGTACATCGTGTTAAATACTGGGGTACTCTCAAGGGGAAAATTTACTAAAATATATAGGAAAAACTGTACCAAGCTGAGTTGTCCAATAAATAAGGGGGCGTTCTCTATTCTTGTTTTCATATTAAAAACTGTTTTTATAATTAAAATCATAAAGAATAATATCCAATCATGACAATCTCCGACTGTTATAAAGACTTTGTCTCAAATTGAACTTTACAAATCTGCCATCATGGGCAAACGTAAACGTGAGGATTCCGATCAAAATTCGAAATCTGCTAGAAGCTTTATTCATAAATGGTTACAACTGTTTTTATGGTTAAGATTTGACAGTATGCTAAATGCCATGTTTTGTGACATTTGTCAAAAACATAAACTTAAAAATAACTTTGTAAAGCCTGGTTCGACAAATTTTCGAAAGTCAGCCGTTGTAGAGCATGCTTATAGCAATGACCACATTCAAGCTCTTAAATTAGAGACAGCTTCCAAAAGTAATCCAATTGTATCAGTATTTGAGAAAGTTCATGAAAAGACTGACAACGGCGCAATGTGCACCTTGTTCCGTAATGCTTACTTTATTGCTAAAGACAACTTACCAATGGACAAATTTCAGTCAATAAATGATTTAACTAAGTTAAATGGTGCCGTGATCACTTCAAAATTATATCAAGAGAACAATGTTGCCTCCTCCGAATTTATTCAGACAATTTCCGATGTTATAGAGAAAGAGGTGATGTCCGACGTAAAGTTAAGTCCCGCCGTGGGAATTATGATCGACGAGTCAACTGATCTGGCTACGCAAAAACATTTAATTTTGTACTTATCATTGTACAAAGAAAAATGTTATCACTGTTCAGTAGATTTTACACGGTTTAAAACAATATCCTTCATTGGGCCTCCTCAATGTTATCTATAAATACCGCATCAGTTGTAAAAGTCACGTGGTCAGGTAATCAATACACAAAAAGAAAAGTATCACGTGTATTGATGATCAAGTTGTACTGCAATTAAAGCCAACATCAACAGTTTCAAATAAGATGGCCTTAATTTACAAAGTGTTAAGTACTCACAGAGAGAAGATAGATTATATAAACAGAAAAAAAACATGAGAACAGTCAGGTACTGAAGCTGATTGATGCAATGATGGTTACTGTATTACAATACACAGAAAAATGACACAATACCGAGGATAATATTTTATTTATTTTTAGAATGAAGAAAACAAAACAGTTATAAATAAATTTATTGCATATAACACTACTAATTATTTAGACATATATATCAATTTATGCATCCTCTCAGTTACATTTAAGTATCCAGCTGATCATTGACCGTCAAAAATATTTCTTTGAAAAATGTCCGGCTGTCGTCAGGAAATTTTGGAAGCCCTGGGTTCTTTGATATGCCGAATCTAACCGTGTATTTAGATTCTTAATTTTTGGTTCCGTTTTCAAATTGGTCTACAATAAGGTCCAAAGGGTCCAAAATTAAACTTAGTTTGATTTTAACAAAAATTGAATTCTTAGGGTTCTTTGATATGCTGATTCTAAACATGTATTTAGATTTTTGATTATGGGCCCAGTTTTCAAGTTGGTCCAAATCGGGGTCCAAAATTAAACTTTGTTTGATTTCAACAAAAATTGAATATATGGGGTTCTTTGATATGCTGAATCTAACCATGCATTTAGATTTTTGATTTTTGGGCCCTGTTATCAACTTTGTCCACATTGAGGTCAAAAGGGTCCAAAATTAAACTTTGTTTGATTTCATCAAAAATTGAATTCTTAGGGTTCTTTGATATGCTGAATCTAACCATGTATTTAGATTTTGGATATTGGACCACAATAGGTGAATGTCCAATTTAAAATTTTTAAGTTCTTAGACCACATTCATTCTGTGTCAGAAACCTATGCTGTGTCAAATATTTAATCACAATCCAAATGCAAAGCTGTATCAAGCTTGAATGTTGTGTCCATACTTGCCCCAACTGTTCAGGGTTCAACCTCTGCGGTCGTATCAAGCTGCACCCTGCGGAGCATTTTATTTTATATAGGTTGGAATTGTGTGTGATTTCTGATGATATGTATGTCATTATGACAATTGATTAATATCTTAATTGACTATTTAAACAGGTTGGAGGTATGGAATGTAAGGGTTAAATATAGATTCTACCACTGCATCGAGTGTGATACGATATTTATCCACTCGAGACAGTTAAATTTTCAAATTTAAAACGCGAGGCTTGCCGAGCGTTTTAAATATTTAAAATTTAACTGTCGAGAGTGGATAAATATCGTATTACACGAGATTTGGTGGTGGAATCTGTTTCTCTAATGATTTTCAAACAATACGCAGGCAAATTCATTCCTTCTTTTCGAATGATCTGCAAAAAGATGTGTTCTTTCTATGTGACGTCATCAGGCATGGTCGCCTTTTTTCATGCCGTCACAATAGGAAATTCAGAGGAAAGCAAGAAAATTCGACGTCATAATCAGATTTTAACCAATGAAGAACTGAGATCAAACGAACCACACGTTGATTAAATTTTTTTTTATACAATGGGTGCAGAAAGGGATAAATTGACGAAGAATTAGAGAAAAGGTCTTACAACAACATATAGATGTCAAATTGATAATGAATATGAAATTGCTTAAAAGTTTAGAAATACAGATATTTTGTTTCTACTGAAAGGCTTTTTCATTGAGATTGGACAGGACTAGATGTTTCTCATATCTTGTGTTTGTTTGTTATTAACATCATTACCGGTATACATAACAATGCAAAACAGATACTGGTAAAGGGGCATAAGCTGCCGAATTCATTACCACTGACTAGACTCAAACTCTTAGATTTGATTCATAACATACATGTACTAAAATATTAACCAGAATTACAACAGTTCCATAGGAAACAATAAACAATGCATGAAATTGTAATAAAGTATCTGCATTACTGCACAATGCAGCTACAAATAAGGGTCAAATTAAAGGATGCATGCGCACAGACCCAAATGAGGTTTAATTACTGTCTTGCAAGAAGCTTATATATAAGTGATGTTTTGGGCTTATTTTTACAAATAGAACCAAATTGACTGCTACTATTTTTTAGTCATAATCAGTACTCAGTCTAGTACTTAATATTTATTTCTAGGCTGATTCCAGTATCATAGTTGATGTTTGGGATGGACATTTTGATTGGGAGGAAGTTCCTGTACCTCACGTAAGTACACAAATGTACCTCATAAAACCATTAAAAATGAATAACCATGGTATTCAAGTCTTATATATTTAATATTGGTGCAGGGGACAGATATTTTTTTGCTTGTCAATGTGCATGGTGTCTACAAATTTAATGGCACGAGATTTTGATGTTAGGAAAGTCTCCTTGCTTCCACAACATCTTCTTTTGAAGATGATCTATTATGAATGTGGACATTGAGATTTGTTTTCTGTATTATTGTGAAAAATGTATCAAGTTAAAACTAAAGACTTTTCATTTAAAGATCAATTAATGAAATAAACAAGACACATATGAGAATGCATAATAATATGTGAAGCATGTGTTATGATTTATTAAAAACTTCCTTAATTTAGATATAAACAATGCAAATTTTTAGTCAGAAAAAAACATAGAATGATATAATATTTAGAAGCTTTGTCTTTGTTTATTAAAACAGACTTATAAACAGCTGATGTTGATGTTTGGAAAAGAAGAATCCTTCGTTAATGCAAGAAAAGCGAAGAAATCCTGGAAGAAGATAAGTGCGTTTGTGGTAGAAGGCCTAGAAAAGAAACAACAGAAGCTTGGTACAGAGGGTGAATTCTATAAAACAGAAAGGGATTTCTTTGACACAGAAATTACGAAGAAGTTTTATGATTTGATGGTAAGTCTGAAATCAAAATACGTTTTTATTAGAACTTGCTCACTTGAATTTTCATTTATTATCTTGTAATTTCAACTCTATAATTTTATAAGGCATCATAAGAAAGAAAATGAGATGTACTCAGCTGAATAGAAATATGGATAGAGAATTTGACATACAACCAACTTTTAATAAAATAGATGTTTATATATAATGGTCAAGTAAGCCTGACTTGATACAGACACAAAATGTGGTGGGGTTAAACCAGTTTAACATGGCACAATGCATCTACCTATTGAATGATCACCTACTAGAACAAGGAAATTAAAAACGGCACATAACTTGTAAAGCAGGTTCAAAATATGCTTACTACAGAGAACTAGCTATTAAAGGTAACTACAGCTGTTGGTTGCATATTACTACTCAAGAAAACAAAATGTCAAAAATATGTCATTAAAAATACTTTAAATGATCTTAAATTTAAATAATTTATTACTCCATAAATGAATGAAAAAATTAATATCAAATGAGTGAATATGAACTAATTGAAAACATCATTGATACATTGCATTTCAGAAATGATCTGATATTTATTTATTTGACTAAAGAGGTAAAGTTAGATATTGTAACTTCTTATTTCTATGTTTATCTGTATTCTTCCTTTAATCTGTATAGATACAACCCTCATTTTCCCCACTGCTGTGTTCTCCCTATGCTTTTTCATGAATGTTTCTATCATTTAGCAAAGGTCAGTTAAAGAACCATTCCAAAGGAAAATTATTTTGGAATACAATTATACATAATTTCGAGGAAAATTTTACCATCCTTTAAACTTTACTCACAAAAGACCTAAAAAATAACATTAAAAAAATGCTTCAATGACTCCTCAATATCCACTGGAAAAAAATAGTATTTGTATTATTATCTTAATTTAATCTAAAGTATCATTTTGTTGCTTCAAAAAATTATGAATTTTTTATTACTATTGTATTTTTAGGTTGCCTATGTAGTATATGTTGTGATCCATTTTTTTTTCCCTTTTCATAGATAAATACTATGCTTATTGCAGAGATATTCAAAAGACACTTTAGTTTTGTTTGGCTATTTATCTGCTATGAATAATTGATTTACTCTTATGGACTATTTAATTACATGTGCACATATTAGACTTTTCTGTCCCTGTTAGGTTTTTGTATAAGCAGGTTTAATTTTAATCAGACATTTTATATGTTTGTGAAGAACCATGGTAAAGAAAGAAGCAAATTAATAAGTCTGATTTTAATTAAAATGTTGGTTGTGGTTCTCTGTCTTTCTCTGCTTGACCTCTTATAGAATTAGTAAGGAAGAAATAAAACATTAAAGAAAGATTGATAGTATGTGTAAAATTGAATTGGTTTACTTAAAATGTAACCAATTGTCTTCTTAAATTAAAAAATAAGATAATGGAATCGAAATGGAATTGAATTTCAAGATGGATGCCATCAGTACACTCCGAATAATCTTTTAAGAATATGAATACTTTATTACACCAATCATCTGCCCATGAAGGACATGTTGCGTATTATGAACAAAAAGTAAAATAACAAAAATACAGAACTCCAAGGAAAATTTAAAACGGAAAATGGTTAAAACAAAATCTCAAACAGATCAAACAAATAGATAACAACTGTCATATTTAGTTTTAAAAATCATTCTTAATTTTAAGATACAATGAATTAATAATCCATATAATATGTATGCTTGACAGTTGCAAAAAAAAAAAAAATGATTTGACGGCTATATTTATGTGGCTGGTGAGTAACAGCAGTCTTCAATTGTGTGAAATATCCATCTAGAAATCAAATGTACAAGTGTCTTACAAGCATACCATTATTCTAAATGGGAATTACTGAATTTCTTATTTTACAGGAGGATGCCTTAATGACAGCAGGATTTGGTCCACTTAAACAGACAATATAATGACATATTACAGGAAAAATATACATGCATCTAACTAGTTACAAGGATACTATGAAAAATACAGAGATATTACTTATTTTACACAAGATATGTCATTTCAACAATGCTATTATTGTGTGTATAAAGTTATTGTTAAAGAGATGTCAACATTCCACATAGTTTGTAGATTCTGTAAACTTGACCTTGATAAAAAAAATCTCATAATCATACACATGTCAAAATTGACAGATTGTTCATCTTGACAATAGTTCGTAATCATTATGTTATGAGCATTTTTTTGAGAATGTGGTGTGAAACCATCTATGATTAAATAGCAACATTTTTTTGGTGTAGATCTCATTTCAGTTTGAAAAATATAAACGAGGGTTGTATTATAATCAAAAATATGATTTGTTTGAATTTTAAATTTATATATAGGGAAACAATTTTACAATAATGGTCCTTATTTTCTTTTTATTTGTCAAAAATTGTTTGGGTAGGTACTGAGAAAGAAATTCAGTTTGAGCCCTTCATTAACTTTGTTAGCATTTACTATAACATTCCAATATTAACATAGGAATGTACTTTGCGTACAAATGCAAAGTCAATGAAAACTTTGAAAAATAGAGGTCCATAAAAAAATTATGCAAAATCCAAATTTACAAGACTACACTTGTTTGTTTTTGTCAATAAGAATGTAAATGAACGGAATAAGTAATATTTTCCATTTACTGCCTTATCAGGACAGATAATTGGCAATTGGCATACATTTTACATTAGATTGTAGAGGATATTATTGGAGTTATCTCCCTTGACATGAATTTTCTAATGCATTCTATAGAATTTACAATCACCTAGTAAGGGTCCATATAAAAATAATTGTATATGAATTTCAACATTCTTTCATATCCTAAATAAGATATAAAAAATCATTTGTCAGCTTTTCACCCATGAATCACGTTTTGCATGATTTTTATAATGATTGGTACTTAAAAAATATAATTGTTACAGATGTTGCTGTAAATAGATTGAAAGAATGAGTTTGCTGTTGGTTAATCAATGGATTTTTGGTCTTGAGTTCAAGAAGAGATTTCTTGTGGGTTTTTTTTATGATAGAAACATTGTAAAATGTAAAGATTTTCAAAATAATAAATCATAAATGAGATTTATGAAATGTGACATTTATTCAACTTTACTTTGAAAAGGACTTTAGTAATTAAGGACAATATGAATTTTATTGATTGCAAATAAAAGCTGTGGTCATATTGTAAACATAGGTCGTTTTGTTTTGCATTTTGTTTTTTTCTAACAAAAATACATTTGTGTATTTGATAATTTTATAAGTTAAACTAATACCATAACATATCATTTGAAACTTCTGTGTTCCATTTTCCATAATGTTACGTCTTATTTATTCCATTTGTTTATTATTTTTTATTTGAAATTGATTCATATTCACAGAGAATTTTTAAAAATTTTGTTTTGTACATTTATAATTTATTACTACTTAAGTTATATTTATTTTCATTTGGTAACAATAACCTATTTTCAGTGGTGCATTTTATTTCCTGTCATATATGCAAATTATAATTATGTCTTAATATATTCTATTTCTGAGGTAATTGGTCTCTAAGCATAGTTAGTCAAGTTGTTCTTTCACTCTACATTAAATGTTTTATGCAAATAATTATCAAGGATACAGATGATGTGGTTTTCATTTATCATTTTCATATCCCATTGGGTTCAATCAATTGCTGAAATTTACTTCAGCGTTTTACTTTTAAATATACATATATGTCTAATTGTGCCATTTATACATAAATTCTATTAATACAACGTTGTTATATAATTCATAATATTGGATGTTAATTTACTATGTTTTCATTGGTTCACAAGATGGCAATGATTCTTCTACTATATGGCAGAAGATTATATAATTCCACGTGTATAATTCATAGTATTGGATGTTAATATATTGTGTTTTCATTGGTTCACAAGATGGCGATGATTCTTCTACTATATGGCAGAAGATTATATAGTTCATAGTATTGGATGTTAATTTACTATATTTTCATTGGTTCACAAGATGGCAATGATTCATCTACTATATGGCAGAAGATTATAGTGTTCATAGTATTGGATGTTAATTTACTATGTTTTCATTGGTTCACAAGATGGCAATGATTCATCTACTATACGGCAGATGGATGGATGGATGGCTGCTTAACCTCCAGCCGCAAGTTAATATGCAAATTCAGGACGAGAACATGATAATGTAATATGAATATTAACCCTGCTTTGTACTAGACCGACACGTAGAGCCGAATTTTTATTATTCTGACTCCGAGTTGACCAGTCTTTGCTCTTACTGCTTAATGCTGCATGCTTAAGGGAGAAGCAGCAAATACCAATTTTAAAGTCTTTGGTTTGACCCCGCCGTGTTTCAATCCCACGACTTCCTGCACTCAAGGCGAACACAAGACCACCGAGGCGGTACTATATGGTAGAAGATAAAAGTTCAGTTTATATATGATGACCTATCTGACCTTTGTTTGATTGATTTATGTCATTTAGTAATTGACAGGTCTTCTCTTGGTACTTTTTATTCAAATGGTGTGATGTAATTATATGTATTATATTGACATGGAGTCAAACAAATCTAATATTTAGCCACATTTATATATTTTAGTTTAAATCACCTAAGTTCCACTGAAATATTCTAAAGATTTGATAGTTGACCTTTCCAAAATTTCTTCTCTGATTATACTGGATTAGTTATCAAGTCTTATCTTCATCATGTAGGAAACATATTGTTTTTGTCCATTTCATCTGTTTGTCTCAAAATTACTGCAGTTTACACAGGAAAGAAAAACACTAGACAGAAGAAAACTTTTTTTATACTTTTTATTTCATAAGTAATATATATTGTATTATAAATACCAAGGATTCAGAAATTTTTTTTCGTACAAGTTTGGTCATTTTGAGATGACTTGAAAGTGTGGGTCCTTTTTTCAAACTGCCAATATTATTCATAGATTTTCGGCATCAACAAACTTGTATTGACAGTTTCAACACATTTACTTCATGAAGTTTCTTACCATTTTTCTAAAAGCGTTCAACATTTATTTATGGAAAGCAACAGTTAAAAATTGAAAGGATTTTAGTTACTTAAAATAGTAAATTTCGCAGGAATTGCTAATGCTGCTTTCGATTTTGAAGACGAAATAACCAGAAGTTTCAAGATAATACTAATTTACGAGTTATTCCGAATTCATTTAGGGATCCGTTCTGTTAATCAAATGACTGGAAATCATTGTAATTTTAATTTTATTACCTGTGAAAGTGTTTAAGTATAACTTATAATAGTTTCACTGATTAATTCAGCATGAAATCATTTTTTCATTTTACGATTAAGTTTCTTATCTGGAGAAGATAATTTCACACATTGGTATTACATAGTAAGTAAAGACAATTAAGACTTGTGAAAAATTACCTTTTTTTCATGTAATTTGATAACAGTTTTTATTTTTAAATCTAAATTGGTGATTGTCTTTGCTAAAAAGTTATTAAATAATGAAGTAATAATAATTTGTCATGGAATAGAATTTCTTTATAATATTAGAATGATTAGTTCTGAGCTAAATCACTCATGTCAGGTGTGAAGAACACAGGTAAAAAGTGATTAGCGATCATTAGCTAAGATCTCCAGGAGGCATTAATATGATTATTGGGAGGACTCTCATGATTTTCATACTATACTCAAGTGGCAGTTTTATTACAGGATAAGCATTTTAAAACAAAAATAGGTACCCGAAAAATAGTGCAAATTGGCAATCCCAATTTAAATGAAATGACCAAAGTTATTTTTGTAAAAAATAATTTTTGGACCTAAATTCCAATCTGCCATTTCGGTCATTGGCCCTTCAGTTTAGGTCATGTCTGGGAAATATGACTGTTTCAGGACACTTAATAAATATGATTAAATAAATATCTTTCTTGAGCTTATACTTACCAATACTTACTTGATATTATTTGGACCCTCAACTTATCCATTGCTTCCCCCTATCTTTAGATTTTTGAACAATTTTGGCCAAAAATCAGCCTTTCGACCTTTCCTCCCCATAGGCTTATTGTGCAGAAAATACGGTAAATCACTTCTTCTGTTATTCATTATTATGAAAATAATGTTTTATGCTAATTGCATAAAAAAAACAAAATATAGAAACCAATTAAAGCTTATATTTCATAGCTGATATCATTATATGCTGGTACATCTGAGTCTGACTTTATTTTGTTATAATGAATGATATTGTTTGTTTTATTGTTAAAATTGTAATGTTGAACAAAATTTGAAGTGCATCTCATGGATGTAAAATCATTTGTTAAGGAAACACAATAAAGTTTGACATGGCATTGTTATGTTATACTAACTACATGAATTTGCAACACCTCAGAAAATGAAGGTAGATGTCTATTTATGTAGTTTCTGCTGCCATATTAGGGGTTTGAGCAAAACTCCAAATATTAACCATTAATATTGACCAGTTTTTAAATCTTTAGATACCAGTATAGTCATCTGATCTGTCATTTTACCGATTGTTTCCTATTCCTGATTGTGGATTACGGGTGATGCATTCATATCAGCTGATGCTTACCCTGTCCATGCATCTGGTTTCGCTCTTTTTGGAGTTCATGAGATTCCCTTAGTTTTTATTTGTTACCGGGTACCTTGATTTGTCTCTTCTCAGTCGATTTACAAGATTTGAAAATCAGTAAACTACTGTGGCCTTATTTTATTCAGTTACTTGGTAAAATGGTACTAACAGTTATAGCACACAACTCTAATTTAATTAAGCTGACTTTCCTATAGTAATATAAAGAAAGGGACAATAAATGCCAATTAATCTATCTGAACAGATATTATGTTGCATCTTTAACAATTTAACATTATACATATTTTCTTGCAGCTTAACCAATGTAATATATTTCAAAATGTGCTGCTTGAAATATTCATAGCTGTTGATATTCGTTACTGTAAATTCAGAAATTATTGCAAGGTTTTTATTAATGCGAATAATGGGACTTCTTGAGTATCGCAATTATTATAAGAACTTGCATTCTGATATCTGTATAGATAAGAAGATGTGGTATGAGTGCCAATGAGACAACTCTCCGCATCCAAGTCACAATGTATAAAAAGTTAACAATTATAGGTCAAAGTACGGCCTTCAACACAGGTACATATATATGTATGTAGCTTTTCCTAAAATTGCAATAATTTATAAACTCACATTTTTTATCATTCTTTAAAAATCGCAATAATAAATGAACTCAATAATTTCTGAATTTACAGTATCCAAATTAGATATACATCTAAAACTGATAAGAAATGGCTTGTTTTGACTTCAAATTTCATGGCTTTAAATTTCTTTGACATTGTTAGAAAAAAAATAATTTCCATATATTTATTGGTGTCCTAAAAATATTTCTTTATAGTTTCTGTAAATACACATCATTTCTCAAATGAAAATAGGATAACATAGAATAATCCCAGAAATTTCATCTCTATTGAAAAGGAAAACATTCTTACTTTGCTCATACATAACAACATATTTGTACCTGTACTCATGGATTTTACTGTAGTTTCTTTGACTATACACAGAAGCAGTTGTATGAAAATAAGGACATTAATGGTGGTATGTTTACCGGTGAGACATTTCATCTAACCAGAGATCAAATAATTAGGATATTAACAATTATAGGTCAGCTTACGGCCTTCAACAATGAAGAAAATTCATTCTGTTTACCGGTATTACTGGTATTAGTTATAAAATACCCAAGTATTACAAAAAAAAAAGCCAACAACCTAATTTATGTGAAAAAATAAACGAAGGAAAAAAAAATGCAGACAGGGACATAGGATTACTGAATTAAAGGCTCCAGACTGAGGACAGACACACAAAAAATGTGTGATGGTTAAACATGTTTGTGAGCCTTACATGGGGCACTGGTGTACTAGCACAACATAAGAACAAATTAAGAAATCAGTAGGAAAAACCTGAACATGTCCGATCAGCAAAAAAAAACTTGGAAAATTGCAAAGCTTGAGCAGGGGCATTTGAGTCTTTAGACACGTGCTTCTTTCATTTCTATTTTCTTTAATATATGATTTTTGTCTCGCCTTGACTCCTGGGTTGAGACTTATGTATGCTGTTTCCGGCGTCAACAATGTATTAGTTTGTGATTAGGTCAGTTTATAGGGAACCACTAGTGATAGGTCAATGATATTTAGTATTCAGTTGTATTAGCATTGGCACATCTCATTTCTATGCAGATTGTTTGGCCCAACCCCCAGTTGTGGTCTATTGACTTTTGCTTAGTTTACATGTACAATGTATTAGTTTGTGATTAGGTCAGTTATTGGGGAACCACTAGTGGTAGGTCATTGATATTTGGATTGCATATGTATTAGCATTGGCACATCTCATTTCCATGGAGATTGTTTGGCCCTGTACCTTCAGTCATGCTTCATTAACTTGAGTGTGTAGGTAAAGATAATATCTTTGGTAAGCTTGCTTGCTTGCTGAACCATGAAATCATTATTAGCTAAGGTACCAGGGGTGGATCCAGGATTTTGGAAAAGGGGGGGGGGGGGCGAAGTATGTAAAGATTGCCGAGCGGAGCGAGGCGAAAATATTTTGGACCTTTTTTTGGCTAAAAAACATAAAATAAGTGTAAAATGCACTTTTTTAACGGTTCCTGACGTGGGGCATGTATATTTTATAGTTAAAGTGTAAGGGTTGGACATTTTTGATGCCGTATTCTCCCCATTAATTGTCTATTATAAAATGATTGG